TTAGTTTCTGATTTTCTGCGGTCCGCCACTAGAACTTGTGGCCCATGGCCTGGTTCTAACCTATGAAGTCAGTATTCACCTCCATTTTAGACTTCTCTCTGGACCTAGACCTTTAGCTCTGAGGTGTTTCCACAACTACAAGTCCATCCCTGTGAGCCCTCTACGTGGTGAAAGTATGGTAGCAATACACAGGTGGGAAGATCCTTGCATTATGTAGCAGCACTTTGCTCTTCAAAGTGTCATCATGGACCAGCTTCAGCCTCACCCAGCAGCTTGTTAAAATGAGGACCCCAGCCTGATGAATCAGAACCTACAGTTTAACAAGCTTCTCAGGTAATCTGAATGCTGATTAAAGTTTGAGAATCCCCGACTTGGGATGCTTTCAGCAGAAGTAATTGAGAATCCAATCCAAACTGGCTTACCTAATAAAGGAAATTTATCGGCTCAGGTAATTAAAAAGTCTGTTGATAGAACGAGTTTCAAATATGATCTGATCCACAGGTCCTTAAGTTCTCAGGGTTCTGAAACTAACTTTTTGCTAATGTGGGCTTTCCCCCCCAAACCTGTGCCGTTTACATTATTTCATTTTATGTTAATAAAAACAATACAAAAATATAGAGCAATGTGTCCTAATTTGTTCAAAACCTAATGTGTAGAGTGATCATAGCACTCTTTGGTGGAAGTTACCAAAATTTTGAAATGACAGCTCCTTAAAATTGAGAGCCTTGGCTGCAAGTAAAATAAGCAAGTAAGACAAAAGTCTGACTTATTCTTTAAAAAAAAAATTTTTTTTTAATCCAAGTGTAGTTGGTTTACAATGTTAGTTTCAGGGGTACAGCAAAGTGAATCAGTTATATGTAAGTTGGACTTAATCTTGTTTAAACAGTAGCGAAGTTTGTTATCTCTAATATCAAAAAGGCCAGAGGTAGGGCTGGTGTCAAGAACGACATGCCAAGGCCCCCTTTATCTGCGGTTCTTTGGGCTCTGCCCAATTCCATCTGTGGACTCCCTTTCAGAGTGAAAGACTGGTGAAGTTCCAGGAATTATATTCAGGCCTTGAAATAAATAAAGGCTGAAAAGGACCTTCTTTTTCCATGTCGCGTTTTTCAGAAATAGAGAAATCCTTCCCAGAAATACCATAACAGAGGTTTCCTTACAACGTATTGTCCAGAATTGGATTTAATGCCATGATAGAGACCTCTAGTTGCTTCTGAATATCCGTTCTCCCCACTTTTTTTAGTAATACAATCCTGATTTTTATCTGGGCATATTCCTAGCCAGCTAAAGGATTATATTTCCTTGCTTCCCTTGCATGTATTTGATCACACAACTAAGTTCTAGTCAGTTAAATGTAAGTAAAAATGTTACGTAGAACTTGTGGGAAGTATCTTTAAAAGGGGGGCAGCATCCTCTGTTATCTCCATTCTTCCATTCTGATTTCTGGAATGCAGACAAGACGGTTGAAGCTTTCACAGTCATCTCAGACCATGAGGACAAGGATATACTCAAAGAGCTGGTGGAACAAAAAGCTGGAAGAAGCCTGGGTTCTTAATGACTTCAGAGACCTTCCAAGTAGTGGACTACCTACCTCCAGACAGGTGAGAAAATAAAACCTTGTGTGTTTAATTCACTGTTAATTTGGGTTTCCATTAACTTCTTTTTAAAAATGTATATATATATTCTCATTGAAATATAGTCAGTTCACAATGTTGTATCAATTTCTGGTGTACAGCATAGTGCTTCAGTCATACACGAACATACATATATTCGTTTTCATAAATTACTGCAAGGTACTGAATATAGTTCCCTGTGTTATACAGTATAAACTTGTCTATTTTATATATAGAAGTTAGTATCTGCAAATCTTGAACTCCCAGTTTATTCCTTCCCACCCAGTTTCCATTGACTTCTGGTGAATCTAATCCTGACTGATGCACATGCCCACTCCCCAGTCAGTCACTGGCAAGAGGAGCTGTTACCACTTGACTGGGGGCAAGTGGATAGAGGGGGTGTCATGATCACCACATTAAATATTTACTTAAAAACACGTTAAATACTTTTGCTAAAAATAGGTTACTATAGGGAAGCAGCATTCTCAGTATCTACATAAGAAGCCATCTCATTGTAAGTGCTTTAGCATCTTAGTAACAAAACTTAAATTATTTCCTGGAAAGTTCAGAGGAAGCTCACTTATTTACCATTTAATTTCTGATGGGTTTTCTGGTAACCTCTATTGATTTTAATGAAAAAATTCTCAGTTGTGCTTTCAAAGGATTAGCTCTAAAATGTAAGGTTTGATTTTTAGTTGATTCACTTCTGTTTAATTTCAACACACAAGTTTATTAATAAAAATGCTTGTTTAGCACATTTATTGCTCCATTGAATGCCTGTTTCAAACCTAGTATCTTTAGCCCTTTCCTTAGATACTTTGCAGTTTTAGAATTTTGGATTAGATTTTTTAAATGGACCATTTTCTAATTCCTTCAAAATCAAGTTGTATAGTGTTCCACTTCCAAGAGTTCTTTCTTGGTTGGGAGAATGGAATAGAACTTTTCATTTTAATCCCTCTGTTAGATAAACTACTTTCATTTATAAATGATTTACTCAACCCACATTTCCAATTCCTTTAGTTTCCTTCAACTCTAAAACTCAAGATGAAATTACAAAGAACCTAGGCTATTTTAAGGAAACCATGTGATCCCAGTTCTGTGATTTCTCACTGTGGTCCCAAAATTCCACCCCAATCAGGGTGTGGCATTTGAATAAGTAGACATCTTCAGGCTGTAAGGTAATTTGAGTCTCCTAGGTCTGGTCACTGGACATAACACAAACCCCAGTAGCAGGAGACTTGTGTTTCGACCCCAACGTTGTGGTAACTAGCCTTGCTATATTAGACCAGACACTCATTTCACCTTTTTGAGCCTCAGTGTCCTCACCTACAAAATAAAGGTCTTGATTATAAAATCTTTAAGTCTCCAACTCAATGCTATGCTCTGATTTTAAGGAAGATGATGGTAAATTCTTAAAATCCCCCAAAAGCAGAAATATTTCTACTCTATCCAAAAGGCAGTTCCAGTGCTTAACAATTCTGAGGCAGCTTTATTTTTCCACTTTTTGAGGCACATAGTTAGTGTACAGCATGATAATTTTATATAAATATACATTGTGAAATGATTGCCACAATCAAGTAAACACATCCATCAATGAAGCAGCTTTTTAACCAGAGAAGCTAGGACAGTCTCCAGGTCTGCCTTCTCTAAAGTTGAAGGATAATCCATCAGCATTCTTCTTCCATTAACCTTTCACAAATTTTAAAACACTAAGTCACCATTTACCAGTCTTTTTCCTTTGTGAATTATCTCCAGAGCTCAGCCATTCATATACCAGCTTCATGGTTCTGGCCACATCTTTCTGGTATCTTAGTTATTATTTCTCACCTTTTCTATGCTCTTCTTTACTTAAATTTATTTTGAAAGGAATACTTATATAATCTCTTTCTGGTAAAGACTATAAAATCAGTCTTGCTTGGCAAAAATAGAGGTTAACTGAGAAAAAAAAGTTAACAGAAACTTACTGAATGTTTTAAATAGGCAATGTTTCTGTGTGACAGGCAACAGCTCCATTTGGCATGAAATATTCGTACTAAGCTACTAAGTTCTCCACGACTTCAGTGGCCTCCCTTTTATGCACTAGCAATATTTGCAGCCTCATTAAGCATTTCAGTTAAAGCTTCACGCACTTTGCAGGTGCAATGATGGTGGTGAGTTGTGGGGAACTACCTGAAATCATCCACCACCTCATTTGGAGAAATATCTCTCTCGAGTGAAATCAAGAGTTTCTTTTACCTTTCTTTAGAGAAGTTTTCAAAGCTTAGCAAGCCTAAGACTCACCCGAGGCTCTGGCTAATATAGACATTTCTGTGCCTTACCCAGGTCTAGACTAGAGCCCAGAAGTCTACGTTGTAAAACAGCTTCCCAGATGACTGCAATGCAGGTAGTTTTCAGACCCTAACTTTGAGAAACATGTAAGCAAGTGTTCCTTAGTCTATTACTGTATTGACTCATTCTTCAGTAACAGTGGAGCACCTGCTAGGGTGCAGAGGGGTATGCCAAGACTCAAGATTCAATATTCATGTCTCAGCACAGTATTTGATGGTCAGATGAGGTGTACTGGCAACACCTAAGAGTTCAGGGTTGGGAAGGTCGCTGTGACCTGACACTGTGAGAAGGCTTTGTGGATCCAGACTGGAAGGATCCAGTGATTTTTTTTTTTTTTTTTGAGGGAAGGAGGTGGAATCAGAGGGGTTGTGGAATCAGGCCCATCTGGAGCTGAAGGTCTAGGTGGAAAGGCTGGAAGGATGAGACAGTATGCTGTGGTGGTCAGTGCTTATTCAAGGTCTTCTGCATGGGAACACGAGGACAGCTTTGTATTAGGGAGAGTAATAACCTGGCATTGATATGCAGGATGTATTGGGTCTGGCAGTGCCAAAGGCACAGCAGGCAATACTGATGTTGCACTAGTGGGAATGAAAAGAACCCTGATTGGCAAGATTAAGAAAACACTGGACTTATTTGCAGGGATGAGGATGAGAAGGTGCCCGAAGTAGCAGGTGCCCTGGAAGAAGGTGAACACTTTTTAAAAGATGAAACTGGCACAACATTGTAAACTGACTGTACTTCATTTTTTTTTAATTTAAAAAAAGATGGAGTGCAGCTGGAATCTTAAACAATTAGCTTCATTGCAGCCAGTGTAGGGAACCCCGTAAACAGGCAGAGGGCCCATTTGTGTTGAACTGATTAGCCCTTTCCAGTGTCTCTGAATCCCTCCTAAAATAGAATCATCTGTTTCACACACTCCTCCTTGCTACTTTCTACCTAAATATTACTGATGAAACACCATCAACCTGAAACTGCGTCGAATAAGCCCAAGCCTCCGCCTGCTTCTGCCCTGGCGATGAATTTGAACCTTCTCAGGAGACCCAGCTAGTAATACCTCTCTCCAGTCAACTGGTTTTTAAACTTTGCTGTACAGTGGAATCACCTGCGGATTTGAAAACAAACAGAAAACCCAAACCCAAACCGAAAACGCCTGGCGCCCACGTGTAACGTGCTCCGGCATAGCTTGGGAACCATCGGTCTAGCCACATCTTCACAGCTCTCTGAGAAACAAATCCTCCTGCCCTCTGTCCGCCGGGAGGGAGCAGCCGAGGGCTCGGGCCAGGGTGGGCCTGGCCCCCGCGCCGCAGTCTCCCTTCCCCGCAGCCCGGCGTGCGCTGCTCGCGGCTCGGGTGCTGGGCGCGGGCCGGGCCGGGAGGAGGCGGTGCTGGGGCTTCTCCGGCCCGGACGCGGCGGAACCGAAAGCGGCGGGCGGGGGAGAGGAAGGAGGGGCGGGCGGGCGGCAGGGCGCGGTGGCGCAGAGAGAGGGCCGGGAATGCCCGAGGCGCGGGGCCCCGGAGCCGCCCGGTGGCCGCGTCCGGGCGATGGCTCTCTGTCTGGTCGCCGACTTCGATCTCAGGAAGGACGTGCTCCCTTGGCTGCGGGCGCAGCGGGCGGCGTCAGAGGCCGCCGGGGCCCGAGGCGGCGGCCCAGGTGCTAGAGGCGCGTCGGGGCGGGGAGGGCGGCTGGGGGCCGTCGAGGCGGGGGGGTCGGAGTCATTCATCTGCACGGGCTCCAGGGTCGGGCCGGGGTGGCGGGCCCCCACCGGACGGCGGCAGCCTGTGCGCGCTGCCAACCTGTGAAGGTTGGTGCCGAAGGGGTGAGCTTCCCTCTTTGGAGTCTGGGCTTTGCCACCCTCCCGGCCTGCGTGAAGGTCGGAGGGCAGCCCCCGGGCAAGACTGCGGCCAAGCTGCTTAGCTTCTTCTGGCGGGTCCTCCAGCTTCTGGCTTACCGATTGCCCACAGTAATTCATCTTCAGCAGAAAGACCAGGAACACTGCTGGTTCTCTCAGCATCGTCTCATCACCGCAGGGCGTGTGGAGCCGCTGCCCGGATTGCGTTCCTCTGGCCCAAGGCTGCGGGGAGTGCGAGAGGGTGGTTCTCTCTGCTTCACTTACATCTCACCTGCCTGAAAATTCATCACCCCGGCAGGGGCTCTGCTAAGACTAGGGGCTCCTAAGGTTCTCGCGTTATGAGAAAGAAAAGCGAATCATGGCCACCTAGAAAACCACCATATAAATACTTAACAGTTGCAGTTTGTCCCCACATTTGTGAGACGTGTTTCTGTGTGAACAGTTTCGGTGATTTAGGGGACATGCCACTTCGGCCGTGAAGTGCGGGAGGGCAGGGTCCTGCTTTCAGCCTGTGAGCAGTGAATTGAGAGCCCGCTGTTTGCCAAAGCTGATATCAGGCCCATCACCACCAACCCAGAGACCACCTTGCGTGCCAGCAAGGGTTGTGAGAGGCAGCGATGCTCAGGTGTCCTGCCCAGCGTCCTCAGGGTGAATTGGAACGCATTCCAGGCATTTGAGGCTTTGGTGTTCATCTGTCTCAAAAATCCTTTGTTTTGACTTTGATGAAGGAGTGAAAAGTGACTTTTGAGGCTTCCCGGTGTTGATCAATCAAAACTTTAAAGAAAGGGAACTCTGTGATTTCCGTGGTTATTTTTAGAGAAGAGAAGTTTGCTGTAAATAATGTGGCATCTTCAGGGCTTAAATTCAGCTTCAGAGCAATGAGATCCTGGGTTCCCAGCTTGTGCACGGGAGCTATCCGCTTAAGTGTGCTTGCCTCTCATTTTCCCCCCTCTGGTTTTCCTTAAACACTGTGTAGACTGTTGGAGGGTATTTTTAGGGGGAAGGGCTATCAAATTACCTGCATCTACAACTCTTTCCCCCTTAACACTGGTGAAAGTTTTCTCTATCTTGTATCTTCACACTCTCCTATGGCTTTTGCAGAATATATGTAGGGTTCCTTGTCTTGTCATGTTGGCTGTTGGTTCCAAAAAAGGAGTCATGTTTGTCTGGCTCAAGGCTTACATTTGACTAGTGAATTTGACTAATGACTAGTGTCATTATTAGTAAAGCTTCACTTTTGGGGGAAATGTTTTAAGGTCTCCTGAGTGTCTAAAGAGTTTTTGGAGGTGTACCTTTTAAAAAATTGAGTAAGCAACTCCCAGCCTGCTTTCCACCACAAAGTGGTCCTTTCTCTGGACCTCCACCTTATATAGCTAAATCCCATGTGTCTGAAAATGAGAAGTTAGATGAAGTGTGAAATGCCACAGTCCTATGTTTCAGTAATGTGTGTTGTGATTGAAAAACTGTGAGCCAGTTAGATTTTTGGCTTCCTTGTGTCTTTCACCTGTGAAGAAAAATAAACTTGTGTGTTGACATTCACTAAACAGCAGATACCCTTGGGTCCTCAGAAAGTAAACTTACTAGAAATACCAGCTTTTTCTGATACTAGTAGTATTTTGCTCTTGCAGAGCACCTTGGCAGGATATGAGCTCTGTTGTACTAAAGAAATTGTTACTTCTGATAATCACCAGTGGGCGGTAGCTCAAAAAAACACAAGTTAATCCTTCTCCTGCTATAATTTGTAGCACTGGCAGGGGGATCAGGGATTCTATTTTATTTCTAGCACAGCTATTACTCCACACATTTGTGCAAATTATTTTCCTTTCAAAGTCTCAGCTTTTCATATGTAAATTGTGAATAATTATACCCTTGTAATGTCTCCTCTCTGCACACTTGCTCTCTGAATTTGAAGCCTTAATATTTTTACATCAACAAATACAATTGAAGATTTCTTAGTGGTGCTAAGTAATGCTTCTGATGTATGACATATTTCTAGCAAAATAGCCAGAGAGCTGGGCTAAGTCAGGCAGGACAGAAATTCAGTGCCTATAGAATAGCATTTTAGTCAACAAGGGTTTAAGGAGTAAGGAAACCAGATTTGGCTACTGCATCTGGCCCTGGTTCTGGGTTAAACATGGGGAAAATTATTTCTCCTGAAATGACTGAAGAAAATATTTGTTCTTTAAAAAAATTAAAACAGTGATAACAAAAGAATATTTTAATACATGTATGCTGTAAATAATAAAAAATCAAAATCCTGTATACACCTTAAAAATAGAACAATTATCAAGATTTTTGTAGGTTTTCATGTCTTCCTATTTGATGCTATTTCTCTCTCTGTCCCTCATCTGTAGAATTTTACCTACAGACACTTAAATGTTTATATTTTAACATTTCTTTGATCTTCTTTGTAGTTTTAATCTATGTGTATATCTCCCTAAGCAAAATATCATTTCATTTTGCTTGTTTGTGAACTTTAAGTAGATGAAAGAATGCTATATGTATTCTTTAGCTCTTTTCTCTTCTCAGTATTGTACGATTTATCCATGTTGACTCCTATAGCTGTAGGTCATTAATTTTCACTGCTGTATAGTGTTCTGTTTGTGTGAATATACAATATGGTGGACGTGGCGATGCAATGCTTAGATCTTCCTTTCAAGGAAAGGCTTCTCCCAGGTGCTGTGAGTGTGAGTGGCAGATAGTCCTCAGCTGTCAGCCCCTTCAGGGGTGACCTTGGTAGAGGGCTGTGTCACCCAACTATATGCCCCCTTGGGTATGGCCACCTCTAATGAGGGATTGAGTTAGGGTCTATAGGCCTGGGCATTTTGACTCAATATGGGACAACTCATAATTAATTACAGTTCTAGAGCTTCTCTGATGGAGGACCCCAACGTCACCTGAGGCTCCTGAGCCTGCCTTGCAACTTGACTTCTTCCCCAGCCTGATCCTGCTTTCCTCTCCTTCCTGCTGCAGGTGTTAATCCCACTTGGAAGCACTCCCTAGTAAATATCCTGTATACTAAACTGTCTCAGAATGTTCCAAGGGAACCCAGCTTACTTATCCTTTTCCCAGTGGTGACATTTGGGAGGTTTCTGGGGTTTGCTATTACAGTCAGTGCTGTTACTAACCTTGTGCATGACTCCTGGTGCACATTTGCACAAGTTTCTCTGGGGTGGATGTCTGACAGTGGAGTTGATTAGTCACAGGCTGCACACATCTTCACTTTTCCTGGGTAGCACCAAACTGTTCTCTAAGGTGCTTGTACTTATTAACACTCCCATTTGTGGTATGGAAATGTTTTTGGTACTCTATGTCTTCACAAGCTCTTGATTTTTCCAGATTTTTACATTTTTGTTAAACTGGTGGGTAAAAATGTTATTTCACTGTGGTCTAAGGTTGAGCATCTCTATTTACTTATCGGCCATTTGAGTTTCCCCTTCTATGAGATGTCTGTTCATCATTTTGTCCATTTTTCTGTCATTTTTTTAATATTGATTTTAGGCATTTTTTAATGTATCCTGGATTCTAGTCCTTCCTTCATCATACATGCTGTAAGTATCTTCCCTCAATCTGTTTTTTTCCCCCAGTTTGTGATAGTACCTTGGATAAATAAGAATTCTTAATTTTAATGTAATCTAATTTATGAGTCTTTTCCTTTATAGTTTATGTTTTTTTTGGATATTTTAAAGAAATTTAGAAGTCATGAAGACATTTTTATATTAACTTCTATAAAAAGCTTTTCTTTTTGCATTTTGTTTTTTAATCCATCTGGAATTTATTTTTGCATATAATATGATGTAGGAATCAGATATGGGTTCACAAGAGCCTTAAAAAGTAGTTTTGATATTTGCTATTTTTAAGCTGAGTGGTAGTTACATGGTGTTGTTTTGCTGTTATTTATAGCATACAAGTGTTAAAATATGCTTTTATAAATTGCATTGTTTTTCTGTGTTAATAGCTAATTGTTCTAGTGTCACTAACCAAATAGCCCTGTCTTTTCTCACTGATAACAAAACCACTTCCTTTACACACCAAGTTTCCATATGTGTGGGTCTCCTTTTCTGGGCTTTTAATTTTGTTCCTTTGGCCAATGTAAAGTGAAAACATCTTAGTAACTATTTTGTGTTAAGTCTTGGCAACTGGTAGAGTGTCTCCTCACCTCAGTCATCTTCTGGTTCATCTTGGCTATTGTATGTTCCTTGCTCTTTCATATGTATTTTGGAATCTGCCTTTCAGACTTCACCAAAAAGTCTATTGAATTTTTGTTTTCAGTTGCATTGAATCTGTAGATCAGCTTGGGAAGAATTGGCATCCTTACAATATTAAATCTTCCCAACTATGAACGGTAGCTTGTTATTTATTTAGAGCCCCCTTTTGACTCTTAATAAGTCTTAGAATTTTCTCCATGAAGGTTCGGCACATCTTTCGCTAGATTTATTCCTGAGTTGTTATTTTTTTGTTGCTCTCATAAATGGTGTATTTAAAAACATATGTTCCTAGCTATTACTGGTATGGAGCAATATAATAGATTTTATATATTAATTATATTATCCAATGCTTAATCACCTCTTGGGATATAATATATCTTCAAGAAACTAAGAAAAAGTCTGTGGTATGTAAATTTTCTAAGGTTTAAATGTTCAATATATTTAAGACCAGAAAGAATGTAGGTTTTCTCACCTATCTCTTCTTGTCTGCTTTGATCAGTCTTGGGTTTATGATAGTCCAGGCAGATTAATCTTTCAAATATTGTAATTATTCATCTTTGCCAGGGAGATAGTAAATTTTACGAGGTACTGACTTGAGAGTAACGCTTTTGCCTTCTGATACCCTGGGTCAGATTTGGGAGCCAGAGGATTGCTGTAGTCACATTGTTTTTATTTATTGTTTCAGTCTTCTCTTGCCACTGTCCTTCCTTTTCAGCTTTCCCTCCCCTACCCTCGTCGTCTCCTTTTCTAATTCTTTTCTCTTCTTTATTACTTTTTAACTGATCACTGCACCCTTGATTTTTCTCATTTTATTTGGGGTATGAAATATAGATCACATAATGATATTTATTTCATAAGTTAGGAATTACAATATCTGGTCATGTTGAGTGTGAGGATTTATGTGAATGATTTATAGAATAGAAACACCATGGGTTTAATCATATTTTAACACTTCTTGATCTATGTATTAGGAACTAATTCAAATTTTTGTATAAGGCTGTGAGACTTCCCCTGTCCCCATAGTCATTGGGAAGACAGCAAATATTTTTGTTTGATTTTTGTCAAATAGCAGTTGGAAACAAAATTTACACATTTGGCAAACATTTTCTTGTAACACAAAATCCCTTGTGTTTGACAAAGAATAGATTGATGTGGATGAGAATATTGGGCAAACCAGCTGTAATTCTATATGAGCTGTGACTTGCCGACACCTTTACTAGGTACCCTCCTTTTCTTTAGTAGGTTTACTTATGCAAGTATCTATCAAAATGCCACATTTTCTCTTCATAAACTCTGATTACACTGAACTGTAAAATTAAACAACATTTCCTCATTTGAAATTGCTAAACTTCCTCCTTTGGACTTTCCAGTGATGAATTAGTGGGAGAGGAGTCAGAATGAGTAAGCAAAGAGGTCACTGAATAGTTCTTTTTAAAGGGTGTGTGTAAATCATGAGCAACTAATCTAGGGAGGAAAGGGCTGGTGGGTTCAGAGTGTGTACTGAGACACTGCCTTTCAACATTACCATATTTGTTTAATACAAATGTCCTTGAGAACCGTGTACTTAACTACAGGATTATTTAAGACTCCAATTATTACTGCCTAACAGACCCATGAAGGCACTATTTTTTATTATTTCTTTCAACTGTGTCTACCATGGTTACATTATAAGGTGGTCCTAGTTATGCTGTCTAATGAATATCGTTTCATGTGTATTGTAAATATGTAGTTCAGTGGTTCTCAGCCCAGGCTGCACTTCAGAATAACACAGGGAACTTAACAATGTGCACGCGCACACACACACACACACACACACACACACACACACACACACACACACACACACACACACACCAGAGAGTGGGCCCCTCACCAGCTCAATGAAATTAGAATACGGAACTGGGCCTTGGGCATCCATGTTCTTTTAAAGGCTTCTCTGATGATTCTAACACAGCCAGAGCAGAGAACCACTGGTTTAATGGAATAAGCTTTTCTCTTTTGTTGTGATCTGCATTTGTTGGAGAATTATTTTTCTTAATTTTTTAACTACTTGAAAATAGATGTGCTTTTGTAAGAAAATTGGATTTTTCTTAGCAAGATTCTTGTAAAGGAGTTTCTTATCGTAGTTGAAACATCTTAAGTGCATTTTTGAGAAGGTCTCTCTCAGCATCCTTATAATCTTGAAAGGAAAAAATACTTCTCAAAATATTGACACATTGCATTCCACAAGTTTTGAGTCATGTGCAGGATAAAAAGAAACTCACTGAAATTCTCTTTAGATGTCTGCAAAATCACCTTAAAAGGATTTTTCAGTAATTATCCATTTTCCCATTGTAAGTGTGGTACAGGAAACCTAGTTTATTCTGTTTACCTTTTCCTGGGTTTGAAATTAGTCTGTGCCACTTTTTTTTTTTTTTGGATATATGATATTGGTCAAGTATCTTAACCTCATTGAAACTCAATTGTTTCATCAATGCAATGGGCCTATAATACTTTACACAGTATGAATGAGATAGAAATGAGGACTCTGTAAAGTGTGACGTACTATTTAGCAGTAAGCTAATTGGAGCATACTATTCTCGTAAGAGACCAGATGATTATACTTTTTTTTTTTAATCAGTGGGCAATATGTCTGACACCTTGCTATATATTGAAAAGTGCTTGTACCCATGTATAAATGACACCTGCCCCCTCCTTTGCCTGCCCTCGGAGTGTCCCAGCAGTTTCTTCCTGTGAAAAGTTGGGAAGAGAGATCTCAGGATGATTCCTAAATTCTCAATGAAACCTGCTCTTTGTTTCTCTAAATGCTTCCTGCTGCCCCAGCTCCAGTGCAGGGGTTAAAGTCACCAATTATCCTTATTTTTTATCTTGTTTTTTCCTTTTTAATTAGGTGTATAACCTGAAATTTGGCCTGATCTTTAGGATATTTTTGCTTATGTTTTGTCTGAGTGTTGGAATTTGTCAATATCAACAATATTTTAAGGTCTAAGAACACTATTCATATATGGGGAAAATGAGTCAAATTTAAGTGATTTAATTTTGAGGAAATTAGGGAAACATACATTTCTCCTCAATTAATGATGATAATTATCAATGCGTATCTAACCATGTTTAAATTGTTTAACTGTAGAATTGGGAGGAATATCCTAAAATTTTGGAAGGAAGATGATGGTCAGTTAACCTACAAGTTAAATGTTTTGTGTAAAAAATCTTTATATCCTTCATCGGAATGTGGCCTTCATACAGAAAAGTACACAAATCATAAGTGCACAGTTCAGTTAATTCTCACAAGGTGAGACACACCCATGTGACTAGCACTGAGAGCAGGAAGGAGAACATTAATGGACCCCCAGAGGTCTCCTTCATACTCTTCCAGCAGTTACTCATCTAGCACTGTGGATTCTTTTTGCCTGTTTTTGAAACTTGGAAACAAATTAAATCATACAGTTGGTAACTTTTTCAGGAGGGAAAGATCTGAGCTTCTTTTACTTGATTATTCATGGTGTATGTTATAGCAAGTTAATTCATTCTTTTTTTTGTGTAGTTTTTTCGTTTTTATTACTGGATACAATGACTAGTTAATTCATTCTTACTCTTGTCCAGTATTCCATTGTTTGGATATACCACAATTTACTCATTCTTTGCTTATGGATATCTTGTTTTCAGTTTTAGCTGTTATGAACCATAGTCTTTGGACATCATATGTGTCATTTGCCAAAATACGTGTATACTTTTCTTGAGGTGTATATGTGCAAGGGCAGTTACTGAGTCGTATATATTCAGCTTCAGTAGACACTGCCAGTTTTCCAATTTACACTCCCATTAGCAGTATATGAGAGTTTTAATTGCTTCACATTTCTTGGCACCACATAATATTAAAACATAATAAGTTAAGGATTCATGTAACTTTTCGGATAACTAGTAAAAGAATAACAAGATAATATATAACTAACAAGTTAATAAGTGGGAGAATGAAATAGTAAAATCTTTGATTAATCCAGAAGAAGGCAAGAAGAGTAAAACAGTTGAGTCACATAGAAAATAAATAGGACTGTGATTGACATACATTCAGTGTATCAGTGAGTACAGTAAATGTAAATGGACTGCACACCCTAATTAAACAATACTTCTTGTAAGACACATACCTTAAATATCAGGACACAGGAAGACTGATAATAAAGGGGTAGAAAAATTTACATTATGTAAGCAGTAACCAAAAGAAAGCTGATGTAGCTACATTGAGGTCAGACAAGGTAGACTTTAAAAAGCATTATTAAAGATAAAGGACATTTTATAATAAATAAAAGTGTTGACTAGTCCATCTCCTGGCTAAAAACCTACGTATCCTTTTTTTCAGACCCAACTGTATACAGTTACAAAAGCTTTACCTGGCAGGCCTCATGAGAGAAAAGCTGCCCTCCCCGAACCAGACTTGGTGCATAGTCAAAGCACTGCGGTCCCTGAAGGTGATTAGATTCAAGATTCAGGCCCTCCTGGCTGGTTATGATCTTATTCACAGCTGCATCCCAGCCCAGATGTCTTCATTTGGAGGCCTTTTTATCAAGCGCCTTCAGCTGGTGCCTCTGCGGAAAGCCCCTCAGCAGGAAAAGGAGGGGAAACTTGAAGATACATTTTCTCCAGTTTGACTCAGTACTTAGTACTTTTCCACCCTTAGTTCTTCTCCCTCTCCCTCCCCTGAGCCCCTGGGTCCTTTTGTTGGGGCCCTCTTGGCAGTGAGAGGTAACTCACCTCTCTGCTGATCTGTCCGCCCCTCCACCAGCATGCCTTTCCATGGGGGAAGCAGGGGGGGTAGTTGGTGCTGTCTCTGGTTTAGATTTTTGCTTATACAATCACAGTAAGTGATGCAAGGCTTGACTCTTACTTGCTTTTTAAGCTTGTTGCTTTAATCTATTACTCTGACATCTGGCAGCTCTGCTGAGTTCCTGACAGGTTAATCTACCAGGAAGATATAACAATTCTAAAATTTTATGCCCCTAATAATGTAGTTTCAAAATATATAAAGCAAAACCTGATAGATACTCAAAATTTATTGAAGTATAACATACACTTGGGAACGTATACAGGTCAGGAGTGTACAGTTCAGTGAGTTATTACTAAGTGGAAATATCAGTGTACCCAACATAAACAGCATAACCAGAACCTCAGAAGGCTCCCTTGAGATACTTCCTCAGTCACTACTCCTTTCCTTTTCCCTAAAGGTCAGCATTATTACCTGTTAGATATGGTTTTAAATATCTCCAAAGTATTAACTTGCTATTATTATCTTATTGTTTCAGATGTTTTAGAAAACAGTTATGACAGCCTACGTGTACTAAATGTTGAAAGAAATGGAAATATTGTTTATACTTGTAAGGTATGCCTATATTCTCTTTTTATTGTGGTAAAATATACGTAACATAAAATTTACTGTTTTAACCATTTGCATTCATTTTTTTAGAGTTTTATGCTATTTCTTATTGAAGAATAATAAATAAGACTAGTTGGCATTTAATCTTTAACATATGACTTTATTTTGTGAGATTGAGTAGGGTGACTGAAGTTGCCATATGAAATGTTTTCCCTTTTTAAAAAAAATAAAGCTGTACACAATGACACAGTTCTCAAATGTTTTGAATAAATGTTTTACTTTCTAGAGGAATAATGCCAAGTAAAAGATGGTTTAAAATAATTACTATGTTAAAATTTTAATCTTTGAGAAAATATTAAATATGATTGCATTACCTGTTCATACTTCTATATGCTCAGACTTTTGGGACGTCATTATTTAACAGTGTGCTTTCAATGTTAATGGCTCTAAGGAAAGAAAATCTAACATTACCATAATGATGAAATAGGAAGAATAATGCCAGGGCTAGTCTGCTTTGCACAGTTGTTATTGTACTTTTTTTTTTTTGGCTTAAAAAAGTTATTTTAAGTTGTATCTATAAGTATGCTACATTTGAGGAATGGTACAATTCAAAAAGTTTTACTTATAAGAATATCATGGACTTGTTCTAGCCACTTTCAATATCCATCGTATATATTCTCTAACAGTAATAAATAGCACTACAAAAAGATCTGCTCCTTCATCATGCTCAGTCCTGATAGACAGGGTCCCCCAAACCACTGAGTGGTACATGCGTATTTCATTTCACTTTTTGAGCCCACATGACCAGCAGAAACAGATTCAGTCCCTCTCTGACATGCGCAGCAAGCTACCTTTAGAGTGCTTATTGCTGATATTGGTTGAATTACTGCAGGTTTCTTTTAAAATTAGTAGCATCCTAACTTCCTAAACAATGGCACTTAATAAACATCTAGTTTTTTTTTTTTAGGACAATAAGGGAAATGTTTTCTTTGGATTGTATGATTACCAAACCAAACAAAATGAGGTAAAAATTACCATAAATTATAGATTACCTATTGGTTACTTTACTGCTTTGAGTTTTCCTTCTTCCTAGATACAAATTCTCATTTCATTTAATTTTCCAAAAATTTAATTTATATTTCTTTGCCTTCCTTCTCTTCTCACTTTTACCATTATCTTAAAAAAAAAAAGTATAAGGACTCTTAGAAGAAAACATCAGCTAAAGTCTTTAGTCCTTTGAGATTTAAGCAAAACTGGCTCAAACCAATTATTCAATATGCTGTAGGAATGTAGGAAGTCCAGTACCCCTCCCAGGATTTGTGTGCTCCCAGAAGCTTAGGATCTCATAACAACCTCTGGCTCCGAGTTCTGCTTCTGCTTCTGCTTCACCTTCACTGATCTTCCTTCTCGTTACTTCTGAAAGATCCAGATACAGTACCAGCCTCCTCTTCTTAACCTTTCCCCAGACTACTCACATAAGGCACCTACTGATTATGACAAGTTTGTCTAAATTTTAGGGCAAACAGGAGAGAGTCATTTTGTGCCTATGTAAAGCAATTTACAAATATTGAGGAACTAAGAAATCTTTAAATGTACACTGGCACAGAAGGCTCTCGAAACACATGAATACATGAAAAAAGCAAGTTGTCGAAATAATACATTCCACTTATGTTTTAAAAACTTACAAGAAAAATATGTAATATATGCACATGAATATGTATTAGAAACTAATTTTAAAAGATCTTGAAGACTACAGAGCAAATCACAAACGTGTTTGCTTTTGGAAGGGAGTTAGGATTGGGTGAGTGTAATGAAGAACTTAGACTTTTTATTTGGTAGTGGTTGTATGTTTTAAACACTGAGACTATGCTCATCTGTTATTTTACAATTAAAAAGATAAAACATTAAAAATTTAGTATTTACATCCGTGATTCTTCTTACTTATAAATCAGAATCTCTCAGTAACGGAGTCAAAGGAAACCAAAACTTCTCACGTGAATTCAGAGATGTCTTACTAACTCAAAGTTAGTTTTTTTCTCATTTGCCAACATTTTTAATCAGCATCCGGCTATTGGGTTCTAGTATATTCTTAGTGCTATTTCAGTCTCAGGTACTCATCACCTTCTTAATTCTTCTGCTGTTCACTATTTCAGCCTATTCTCTCCCTGAAGGTCTCTTTCCTAATCCTCTGAGTGTATTTTCAAAGAGTTTGCCTCATACAACTGTGATTGTCTCCACTTCTTCAATCTGCACATCACATCCTCCTCCTGCATGACCATTTTCATTTTCTTTAATACTCAAGGAAATGGAATCTTGCAACATTCAAACAGCAATAAAATAGAAAGTAAAGATTATATAGAGGATTACTTTGCCGATGCTCTGAACAAGAGAGTCCTATAAGAGATGCACTTGTGATGGTCTCTTAGACATAATGATATCATAGTTCTGTAATTTGATTAAAACTTTAAAACTTTACTTGTCTGAGTAATCATAAGAGCTAACACTTGAGTGCTTACTGTGTGTAGCACACATTGTAATAAGTGCTTTCACATGGATTATCTAACTTGACAAGTCTCTCATGCAATAGGTAGTATTATGATTCTTACTTTACTGAGGGGAGGAAAGAGAGGTTGAATAGCTTGCCCAAAGTCACGCAGCTGGCAAGTGCAGAGTCAGGATTTGAACCTGGGTCTAATTTGGCTCTAAGGTGTATGCCCTTAACCACCATTCTGTGTTGTTTCATGGCTAAATTTCAGTGTCAAACATGGTGTACAATAGCAAACTTTTTTCTTAAAAAATAATCTGAAACTTTTCAATATGGATAAACTGACTCGTTGGTGGTTCTTTAATAAAATGCTTTGCCACAATGATACTTGCTAGAGAGCTGAAAGAGAATTTGCATTTATAAAATTGTCACTTAACATGAAACTCCAAATTAAAAAATATTTTTGTTTTAATAGCATCTCTATACATTTGAGAAAGACTTGCAAGTTATCAGTTGCTCTGTCAACAGAGAGAGAACTTTGCTGGGTAAGTTAAACTCTTTTATTGCTACCGGTCAAAAACTAAACTGCACTCTTTGGGTTTCAAAGTACTGGATTTTTGCAATATTTTATTATTCTGTACCAATGATTTTCTGGGAAAAGATGCTCTTGGGAGATTAGGTTTGAAATAAAGAATCTGTAGAGTCTTCCTACAAAAAAAAGAATGCTTTGTATTTTACCTTAATCATCCACTGACAGATCCTTTGAGCTCTTACTTACTTCAGATATAAAATGGTAAACTTTAACAAGTCACTGCATGAATCATTTGCTAATGGATTATTTTTTCATTTTCCATTAGCTGCAAGTTTAGTTCAAGCTGCTAAAGATGGAAGAAGGAATGAGCTTCAGCCAGGTATTGGAATTATACTTTTTAGTGCTTTATTAAAGCAGTAAAGATTTATTAAACTATTAAGTCAAGTTTCAAGCTTCTTTACAAATAGCTTTATCTCAAAATAAAAAGGCAAAGACCATGTCGAGCATGAAGAAGAGGTTTCTTTAAATGTTTTTTCAAGTAAACGAGAAAGTACAGAAAATAATATGAGTGAATAGCAGAGGTATTAAAAAGGCAATTAGCATCTGCAGACTAAACATTGAGAACACACTAGAAGCCCACTGGGCATAAGTTGGTATAGAAGGTTGGGAAGAGGTTGGTAGTCCGTGGAGTATACCATTTTTTCCTGGTATCTGGTGAACTACTGACCAATACATGCAGTATGCATAGTCCACCAATTCTAAATAGAAATCAGTTCTCCTCATTTTCTAGGCCCACTTCAGGGTTGGTTATTTCTGTGATGCCCCCCCCCTTTTAACAGTCTTTGTCATCCAAGTATCCAGAACTCAAATGTTGAGTGTCTGCAGTCGGTCAGACGCAGTGCATGGTGCTGGGGATACAAGGGTGTGCAGGAGAGGAGCGGCGATTGCCCTCATGCTGAGCTGCAGGGACCAGTGGTAGGTGAGGGTGCCCCATGAGGCAGGGGTCCCATCTCCAAGGAGGGGCAGTAAGCCCAGGGGGACCAGCTTCTCAATGTATCAAGAGAAGTATGAACTTCTATATAAATTTTTAACTTTTAAAAGTTGGTCCAAATATTTTTTAAAAGTTCTCTTCAGTCCATGATAACCATCCGGGCTGGGTGCAGCCTGTGGACTACCAGTTTTCAGCCTCTGGTCAGGTGGATCTCATTTCAATGTCTTACTGTTCCTACTCTGCAGTGCTTTCCGTCTGTTGTTTGGCACTTCTTTTGTTAGCATAGTTCCCACTCAGACATATTCTTCTGCGGGTGCACATGATGGAAAAACCCTTTATACGTACTTTCCACATGAGTCTGGTGAGGTAGTCCCGGGCTCCACACAGCCAGCCTAGAGTGTCAAGGGAACCAGAACGGGTCTGGATGGGACCTTCTCAGGGAACTCAGCAGAAGAGTTTGTAGGAGATGTTGGTGGACAGAAGGCTTTCCTTGAAATCTCAGCATTGTTTGCTTGTCCTTACCTTCCCTCCTGCCAGGTTACTCTGGGAACCTCAGTCATCTTCTTCTCTCTTATGTCATGTCCTCCTCTGAGCCTCCTCTGTTCCTCTTAGAATTAGGTGCAGTGCTCACTTCAGAGGTGGTGGAACTTGACTAGGGTCAGCAAGATAGGATCTAAAACACTTGTGTCCCAACCCCTAGAACAAGGGAATGGAAATGAGCCTGATCCCCTGGGCTAACAGTCGCTTGTGTTCATCCCAATTACGAGGCTAGACATCCGTACAGAACCTTGGGTTAGCTCGTTGTGCCTTTTAGCTCTTTTTGAACCTTATTCCTTTGAGCCTTAGAAATTCCTTATTATGTTGGTAAATCCAGTGGAAACTATAATCTTTACGTGATGTTTGCCATCTATGCCTGTTCGTCATGCAGGGCAGTGGCGATTATGTCTAGCTTAACATGCAGTTTCAGACCAACTTTATTGTAAGTTTTATTTGGTTACAACATTAAATCCTATTCAGGTAGTCTGACTCAGCCTGAAAGTTCGATGCATCTCCAGTGAAATTATATGATCACATCATTTAAAATATTAGAGTGAACAGTGTTAATTTTTGTATTGGGGACCTCATACTTTATCTTATTAGCTCATCTTTTATACCAGTCACTGCAGTGAAAACCATCTCTACCCAAATGTAATTTTGACAGTCAGTGCCTCACCTCAGCTGCTCTACCCACTTCTTGCTTTTTGCCCTTGGAAAAAATCTGTTTACTACCTGCATGTGTACCGCTTGAAGTCTGGTTGGAAAGGATTCCTAGTGAGGAAAGCCATGACCAGTGGTGGGGAGGGCAGGAGCTGAAGGATAAATATTCCTCTTTGCATCCTTAAAGTAGTTAATTCTGAGGTACACTTCACACAGCTCAAGACCTAAGATGGGCACTAATTTGACAGCGCCCTGTATCCTGTCACACTTTTCTTCCTCTTTCACTCTCCCCATGCCCTCATGCCAGCCCCTCATGGCTGGAGCAGTCTTGTCCCCTGAGATGACTGTCTTAGTTTGGGTTTCCCCAGTAAGTAGTTTGAGACAAGTATTTGAGTGCAATTAGTTAATTTGAGGGATGAGCCCAGGAAATAACATTAGAGGAGTGTTTACACAGAGATCTGAAAGAAGGGAGGGGATGAGCTTGGGCCAATGGGAAAGCACATTTCTGGCAGACCAAACAGCTAGTGCAAAGGCCCTGGGCTCAGAGTATACTTGGAAGACTTGCTGTTCAAGGATAGTAAGGTCAGTGAGACTGAATGGAGTGAACAAGGGGTGGAGTGATGGGAAATGAGGGTGAGGCGCAGGCAGATCATGGAGACCCTTAGGAGGCCTTTTGTTTAGTTAAAGATTTCAGAAATTATGTGAATGGAAAGTACCGTAGGATCTATTATAATGATTTGTCCTCTGAACAGGTACTTTACAGATGCTTATTTTATCTGTCTGTGAATAATCTGATAAGCCATTTGATTATAAAATGTAGTTTGCCTCAAGGTGTTAATACTCTGTTGCTTATAGTGAAATTTTCCCATTGCAAATGAGACAAACTGTAACATCTCTCATATGAGCAATGTTCCTTGGTTCACATACTTTACAATGAACTTTTTGTTGACAGTGTTCCTCCTCTTGGCTGAGGCCATGTCAGAGTTAATGTTTTATTTAGAAAATGCCCTTCCATTGGAAGCTAAGCCCAGCTGCTCCTTTCATGCTCCCAGGTGGAACTGCGTTTGCCCCAAGGCCCAGCAGATCCCCTCCGGGCAGCAGTAGGGGTGACCACGTGTCTTGGCCCCACTGCTGTTCCAGCGCCCCCGGCACCGTCATAGACAGTTGAGTGCTGCAGACGCTCCATGGAGCTGTGGTTTGGTTCCAGAGGTCTAATCCAGAGCTTCTGCAGGACCAGGCTTTACTGGATTCTGCCAACTTTGTTACTGTTTCGCAACATGTGCCATCACCTGCATCAGACCAGGTTCTTTTGCTTACCCTTTACCCTCCCTGTGCCTTGCCTATTTCTGTGTTATTTATTTATTAATTTTTAAATTTAAGCAGAAACTATTCATCCATTTCTCCCACCCCTACCCCCTGCCTCCTGCAACCATCAGTCTGTTCTCTGCATCTGTGAGCTTGGTTTTGGTTTTGTTTTCTTTTGGGTTTTGTTGGGGGTTTTTTTAGATTCCACATAAAAGAGAGAAATGATATGGTCTTTGTCTGACTTATTTAACTTAGCGTGATGCCCTGGAGGCCCATCCACGTTGTCCTTCTTGATCCTGCTGCTCCACTTCCTGTGACATTTGTGTCCTGCCTGGACCTATCTAGTCCTTCAGTGACGCCCTGCCAGTCTCCACTGATACCTGGATTCTCTAAATTCTTATGACAACTTTAAGCACTTCATGGAATCATGAGATTTGATGGCTGAAAGTGATTGTAGAAATGATCCGATTCTTTAGTTTTTCATTTAATTTTTGAAATAACAAGGCACTGAGGCCTAGGAAAGCTTCATGATTTGCTGAAAAGTATGTGTTAGGTTAGTGGCAGAGCTTAAGCTAGAGCTGATGTCTCTAGAGCCCTAATTCAGAGTTACACTGTGAAAGCACACGGTATGTCATTGAGAGACATGCCTGTTTGCATGATTACTGTTATCATTATGCTAATTGTATTAGTAAGTATCTGGGCTGCCCTCAAGAAGGGAAAAATTAGTGTGGGAAGATGGTTTCCGCCCTTAAAAATCTTCCCATTTTAAAGGCAAGTGGATTTAGCTGGTTATCTCACCTGGGAACAAATTCACTGACAAAAAGGCCAAGTATGAGATGATACCTTATTTTTCCAGTGAGAAGATTCCCCTGCCTGCTGCCCCAAAAGAGCTTTTAGGGCAAGAGATAAAACAATCAAACATCAGCTTGTACTATTTACTATATTGATTTAGTTATACACACTCAAAATAACATAAAATAGCTATCATTATGTTATTTTATAATACATATATACATTATATAATACATACATATAATTATATATATTAATATATATATTAAGGAAAATTGCTTTTTTCCCTCATTCTCACATTTCACAGAACATTTCTGTTCTATTTTTCTTCACAAGTATCTTTGACACCAATATCTTTCTTATTCCTAGAGCCATTTTTCAGTCATCAAGCAGGTTCCCAAAGCACCGCACCTTAACCTCTGTCCCAGTTATTAGAAATACAGCCCTTGGAACTGGTGTCTGGTCCTGTCACTGGGATTTTTATTCTAAGCTATAAGTACCCATCAACCAAACAACATTTGCTTTTCATTTGTTCTGTCATTATGTGTTTGTGATCCCACATAATAACTCCATCACTGCTTTGCTTTTCCAGTAATCTCTAAAAGGTATGTTTACAGATATCTAGTCCTTGAGATTGTGAGGCAGTATCCCAGAAATTGTTTTACATTTTTTGCCTTTTTCCTCTTGTTTTAAAAATAAAGTCACACTATTAGAGTACTTCCTTAAATAGTTAAAAAAAAAACAACTGGTGTTGATTCAGTTCCAGATGTGCCTGCCCCAAATTGTACATTATTATTCAAAATAAAGTCACTGAGAAGTCACCTGAGAATATTAGAGTCGTTATAAGAACTCAGATATAAGGCAACCCCTGTTCTTAGGTTTAATCTTGGAGGAGGGGAACTTTTGGTCTAAATTCGGATATCAGTGGTAACCCCATGCTAGCCTGTGCCCAAAGACTTCTTTCTAAGTGCTATCTTGTATGACATGTGCTCAGCTGTGACACTGAAGACATAAGTAGGTCTTTATCAGTGCAGCTCCACCACCCTTCCTGAAGGAAGCCAAGCCCCTGTCCCTGTTGCTGTCAACTGGAACACATTCATGCATCCACAATATCTTTCTATTTTCCTGTCCTAAGCAGTATTTGCCGTTGTGCTGTAGAATTGCAGTGACACGGAATCGAGTTGTGTTTGTTTAGACTTAGAGGCCAAGAGGGCCTGTGAAGCACTGGTAAAGATGGCTGAGGAATGGGTAGGAACTGGTCTTCATTCCGTGCACGTCGACTTTCCCTTTATGGTGTTTTCTGTATCTATTTCGGATTTTAAGAAGTGTCAAAGTCAATTTTAAGACAGCTACTTTTGCTAGTGAAATAGCTAATACAGTAAGTGACGCATTTACATGTTCAAAGTTCAGACCTAGATGGAGAAGATAAATTGTGATACTCTGGTCTTTGTTATTAAAAGAGTCCTTTACTTTGTAGGATCAAAGTGCTTAACTTTGTTGGTCGAAATCCACCCCGTTAACAATGTGAAAGTTCTAAAAGCAGTGGATAGCTGTATCTGGGTACAGGTAAGTGAACATGTCTTTATCACTTATCTCATTAATCGAAAGGCATGAAACCTAGAGGCAGTGGTGTTACAAAGTGCTTTCACACACACATTATCATATTTAATCCTCCAAGCAATCCAGTAGATGAGTATGGCCGGAATTATCAGCTCTTCCTTTGCAGACATGGAAATCAAAGCTCAAACCTTGCTCTCTGTCTCTATTATATTAAAGTTTGTCTGGTAGTAATATAATGTTTTTACATGATAAAATATTGAATATCAAAACACATTTAAAGGAAGTTTTAAAATGGTTTATTTTATGTATTTATAGAGTTGACAGATTAAATATCTATGCTTAAATGACACCATTGACCCCTGAATTTATCAACTCCATGAATTGATGCAGAAGCACTGTGTGTATGATGCCAGTGGACTAGATATAGTCAATCTCCATTATTTGCACATAGAATTTGAAAAATTCCACTACCTGCTAAAATTCATTTCTAAGCCCCAAATCAGTACTCAAGATGCTTTCCCAGTCATTTGCAAACATGTACAAAGCAGTGAAAAATTTGTCCCCTGATGCATATGTTTCCAGCTGGGGTTGAACAAGAAAGAGGACACTGCCTTCTCGAATCAGTTCTCAGACCATAAACAAATGTTGTTTTAGCAGCCCAGGGTTAGTGCCTGGTTTTTCACACTCTGGCTTTTGATGGTGATTTCACTGTTTAAAATGACCCGCAAGCATGTTGCTGAGGTGCTGTCTCCTGTTCCCAAGTGCAAGAAGGCTGCGATGTGCTTTACCAGGAACATGTGTGTGTTAGTCAGAAAAGCTTGCTTCAGGCATCAGTTCATAGCGCTGTTTGACTTTGAGTTCAATACTAATGAATCAACAATATATGTGAAATAAGGTGTCTCTAAACAGAAACATACACTAGACAAAGTTTGGTTTTAATCTGTTGACAAAAATTTTGTGACTAGAGGCTCTCAGGACCCTCTCCTTGTGTTTCCCCGGAAGCAGTGATCCAGTGTCCGGCGTTCTGGTGACTTTATGGAACGTGACTTTATGGAACGCCGCAGAGAACAAGAGTCATGTGACATTGCTGCACAATCTCCTTGTGTCCCCTGAGCATCTGCCTCCTCCTCCCCCACCTACTCCCAGCCTCTGGCACTGGGTCTCCCTCTCACAGTGTGTGTTAGGAGAGGAGATTGTTCCCCGTGTGCCCAGGACTCCCCCGTCAGCCGGGCCTTCCAGTTGTGCGTTGTCACCACCACTCCTGACTTTGCTGTCACCAGCCAGGCCTGACGTGGTGCTCCTGCCCGACTCCCCTCTCCCAGGAAGCCACTGTTCACGCGGCCCTCAGTGTAGGGTGACTGTGGGACAGGGCACACTTCCCTTTTCTGGCCCATTCTTTTGGTTTCTTTAGCATCTCCACCCGGGCTGTATAGGCAATGGAGAGATTGTTGAAGGACTGGAGCAACTAAATGATAATTAGACCATAGGAAGGAAAAAGTTTTTACAAGTATATGGTCTCACAATGTTGTGACTGTGTTAACTATTGCGTTGTATACTTTAAAATAGTGAAAATGATAAATTTTATGTTATATACATTTTATCTTAGTTTAAAAAAATTAAAAGTACATGATGCATGACTGCATCCGTAGGCCAAAGGATAAGTCCCTGCCCACGTGAAGCAGACCTGCACGCACCTTGTGCACCCACCTCAGTTCCCAGTCCTGCTCCCTGCTCCTCATGCTTATGCCTCTGGAGAAGAAATTCCTCCAAACCTCCATCCCTGACAAATCCCCACCTTCTCCCTCTCTCCCTCCTGCTCCCCTTTAGAGAAACACCATTCATTGTCTGCTGAGTTTGACCCTGCCCTGGGATCTGTCTGATTTTTCTTACCAAATCATCCATGATGATTTCCAGTAGTACATTTCCCTGAGTCTACATGGGCAGCCCTGACCCCCTTCACACGGGAACTTCAGCAAAACAGTAGAGGGTGGGGTTTGGATCCCAATCTGGGATCCTTTGAGAGTTCCCTTCCAGCATGAGTGCATCTTCCAGATAGTTCCATTGGGTAATTACACACCTGTTTCCATGCCTACATTCACACCTCCCTATGACAAGTATGAACAGTAGAGTCTAGCTCCAGAGTTAGGAAGATAAATATTTCTCTAATAGGATATAATCTATATAGTTTCCAACTCACAATGCAAACAAAAGAAAACAAAACAAAAATTCCAAAAACTTTGCATGCCTTTGTAGAGCTGTGTCTGAAGCCTATTCACATTCCCACTTCTAGGCTTTGCTCTAGTGTTGCCTCATAATAGAAAGAAAAATAACCATCACCTCAGTGAGACTTTTAAAATCACATTCTCACTGATTGCTTCCCAGAGACCAGGCACAGATTTAGAACTTGGCAGGACCTTCGAACAGGCCGCGGTCCTAAGCGAGCAGGCCTTGGCCACCTCCGCAGACCCAGAGGAGGCCACATCTGTAGTTTCTCCTTATTTTGCGGCACTGAGTGTTTGCCCTTCCGTTATCTGTGTGGTGTCACTCACCTTTGCTTCTCCTCAACCCCTGTACACAAAGTATCTTGTTTGATGTGTACAATTTCACAAATCAGGAGATAATAGGGTCTATTTTATTTTCATAGCTGAATTCTGCATTGCTATGTGTTTTATAATTTTGATGTTATTGCTGCGGAGAATGGTATATAATGTTTCATTTTCCTAAACAGGAAACTTGACTACAGGCAATTTCTGTTTCCAATTTATCATTACGAAAAGTTTGTCCACCGGGTAATAGATTTTCTCAAAAATTTTCCTGGTCTTTAGAAAGGCTGCCAGCTGTAAAACAAAGACACAAAAGGTTTTGTTCTTTCATTATGCTTTCAAATTTGGAGGGAAAAATCAAAATTCACTGATGGGTCTTATCTAGTAGGCTGTCTTTCAAGTTACAAAAGGAAACTGCTGATTTATGGTTATTCTTCTGATGATGAAAGAATTAAGTCACTGGAGTCCTCCCATGACGAGTTTGCCCTCATTATCATGGCTGACGGTGTCAGGCCTTGTGTTGGAGGCTGCCTGCTTTGTGCTGTGGGCTGGCACATCCCAGCGAGCACAGAGGAGGTGGAGTGGGGTGGATTGAGCCTTTTCTTCCCAGTGGCAATCATTCTATGCTTTGAGGCTTGTAAATCCACCACATGCCACACTGTGACTCACTGTCATTTCTTGGAAAGTCCCTGGGTATGTTGTGCTTTGTTTCTCGGATGGGGGACTTTGGAAGTTGTCGTGGAGAGTACGTTTACTTGGCTCTCAAATTAAATACTAGGTTTAGTTGCACAACAAATTGTATTGATCACTCTTTTTGGTTTTGGTTTTTTGGGGTTTTTTTTTGGTGCATGTGAAACAGAACTTTCTGTGCAAATGTCGTTTACATTGTTTCTGATTGGCATCAGACTCACTTATTCAAAATAGGAAGCACCTTCCCTGGACGGTGCTTACACTTTAGCTTTACCGTTTAAATGAATTGTGTTGGACTTGTGATCAAATTCCCCCTGAAAAACCGAGCTCCTGAAAGTGTTCCTTTCTCTTCCTTGCTTCCGTCTGTAATGTGTGTATGAATGTGATTTGCCTGAACTCTTCTGTGGTTCCCAGTCCCTGCTATGGTATAAGTAGTGTAGTGATCAAATGCAACTTTTGAAATATTTGTGTAAGCAAGATAGTTGCTCATGATTGATTAATTTCCTTTTTGCAGTTTCTCTACCCACATGTTGAAAGCCACCCTCTGCCAGAGAATCATCTGTTACTGATTTCAGAGGAGAAATGTAAGTGTATCTTTAGGTGATATATGGGGGACTTCACGAACAGTGCATCTCCTAGGGAAGTGTAGGACATGGTGGATCTTCTGGGTGTCCACTCACCAGTGCCAAGGGTCCACTTGGAGACCTGGGACTCCTGTGGCAGGACTTGCCTTCTGCCTCCACTTGTTCCCTTAGGCTCTGCTCTGCCTCCGTGTATGATGGGCCCCTGCATATATGGATTTCCAGTTTTGTCACCTGGTAGAATGTTTGTAGAAAAGTTGTCCAGGCCATTTTTTCCTTCTTTAGTCTATCCTTCTTTAGGATGTCTGTCACAGTGGATAACCATGGTTTAAGGAGAGGGACTTGGATGGAGGTAGGGGAAGGCATTAGAAGCTAGAATTCCTTGGCAGAACTCAAGGACACAGTAACTTGGTTAAATTCAGGTATAGGCAGATAAGGTTGGGACATCCTTAAATGATGCTTTCAAGTTGGGGCAGGGGGTTGAGAAAAGACAAAAATTCACTGGTGCATCTTATCTAGTAAACTGTCTTTCATGTTATAAGGTGAAACTACTGATTTATAACTGAAAGGAGAGTCCTGAGGGGTTAGTTTTGTATTCATTTCCCTGCTCTTGCCCAGTGATCCGCTTCACATTTTTTTTTTTTTTGTAACTGGAACCACCAGAAAGTACGTATGGCTGACTCGAAATTGCTTACTAAGAAAAAGGGATCTTCTGTACATCAGTGTTTAGAGTTCTGTTAATGTGAAGTTGACCCCTGTGACAATACCTCCCCTTAACATTGGGTAGACTGAGTTTTCTATCTGACATTTTCATATGAAGAGATGTCTGGTATTTGGAAATTGAAGATAAACCCTGCCAAATGAGCCCTCATTCACCCTATGTAAGACTGACGGTGTAGGGGAGGCAAACGCTTGTTGAGGGAACCCAGGGAGCAGAGGAGTTCCACGCTTCATGCATGGTGGATGTTGAGGAGCAGTAAATACTGGACTTTAAACAGACTGTAAAGGGAGGGTAGGGAAGGATGGGTTTTGTTTTGAACGTTTACTGTGAGATTGCCATCTGTAATGATACTATTTTTCAGCCAATTGTTTAATCTGCTTTGCTTTTATTAAAAAAATAATGTTCACAACTGCTAGGTGAAAAAAAGTACTCATGTTTTTCGTGAAGGTTTAACTTTCTTTCTGTTGTTTCTTTTTAAAAAAGATATTGAACAATTTCATGTCCAAGTTATCCAAGAAGATGGAAACAAAGTGGTAAATATTTGAAATTCCTTTGCTTCCAGGTTATTTTCCATAAAAAGCAGCATTTCTAGACTGTTGTGAATGGATTAATGCTACAGAAAGAGTATTTTCTTTATTTGGTGTCTTTCAAATTATAGACTTGCCTTTGTAACATGTGAAATAATACAAGATACATGAAGGAGTTGACTGTCTCCTTATCTCTGCCTCACCCCCAATCTCAGTCTCCTGACATAGCTAATGACAACCTTTGTCACTCTTTGCATGCCTTGTACCTTGCTCATACAGACATACTCAGGGTTAGGTGCACAGTTACGGGAATTCACGTGCTTTTACCAAAGTAGAATCATAACGTATATATTAATTTTCTGCTTTTGCTTTTTACTTAATGTATCAGAGGTATCCCTATAGGTTTCTAAATAGAGATAGAACTTTTTTCTCTAGTTTTTAAACATACGTGCATATAATAAATAGGATCATAACATATATGCAGAAATTTGATATATTTTGGTTTTCTTTTCTTTTTTGCTTGTTTTCCTCTTCTCCCTTGCCTTTTTACCTCTAATTTTTGTTCACAACCTGGTGTGTATCCTTTCACACTCTTCTCCATACCTATATGTCTCCTATCTCCAACCCTGACACACCTAGGGGTCTGTTTATTGTTCACTCCTTCCTCATTCAACTTTATGAAATTAAATGCAAGTCACCTAGAGTGGTTCAATTCATTGTCTTTAGAAGTACACACAATCCCTGGCATGGATGTGCACAGTTTTGTCACGGTTCTCCCATGGATGACTATCACTTGATTCCTTTTTTTCCTTTGAGTTGTTTGCATTACAAATTGTCTCAAATATTTTTGGCTTTATATATTTGGTCTACATACTCCTTTGGGTTAAATCCTCAGGAATGGGTATTTGGGTTGATGGGTATATGTATTTAATAAATTTCGACAGCTTTTGCCAGATTGCTTTCCCCAAAATTTATAACAATTCATACCTTTGCAAGCAGAGTGTGAGAGTATCCTGTCCCTCTATCCATACCAGTAGTGGGTGTATTTACCTTTAAAAAAAAAAAATCCAATTTGATGGGTTTAAGTTGAAGTCATTATTTTTTTAAACATTTTTTTAATTGAGTTATAGTCATTTTACAATGTTGTGTCAAATTCCAGTGTAGAGCACAATTAGTTGAAATCATCATTATTTGAGTTTGTCTCGTTTAGTGAGTTTAAGCATCTTCCATGCTTGTTGGCTACGTGAATTGTTTTTCTGAAAATTGCTTAATTATATCCTTGTGTTTTTCTACTGGGTTATCTTTTTCTTGACAATTTGTGTAAAACCTTAATTTATTATCCATATTAAAATGATTTCTTTCAATATTTAAATAGTCTGTATCAAAATAGTCCTCTGATTTTAATTTTAAATTATGTGAACCAAATTGAAATGGGAAATGGCATTTATTAATTATGAATCTATGATTGAAAGCGTCAATGGAAAACAACCAAAAAGTGTGTGGTCGGAGCTCTGGGCCCCAGTGGCTAAGTGGATGGATGGCAGAGCAAAAACAGGGCCAGCAGGTAGAAAAGGGTCAGGCCAGAGAAGAAAGATTGATGCTCCAAATCTCAAAGCCAGAGATGAGAATTTAGAGGAGAGAGTTAAGTAAATAAGTTGGGGGTCAGAAACTGGAAATGGACATAGGCAGAAGACTGGCTGGTAAGAACAGGGATTGGGAGCCGTGAGAGACATTACAGACAGAGTGAGGCCAGGGGGCACCTGTCGGCAGCCCAGAAAGGATTCTCCCAGCCAACAGGGTACAGCCTCAGTGCTGCTTCATCCATGTATGCCCTTCTGTGAGGCACTTCTGCCTCATCCTTAAAGGCTTAGATGACAGCTTGACTATATAAAATATATAATAATAATAATAATAATAATAATAATAATAATAATAATAATAATAATAATAATAATAAAAGTAATGTGTGATTCCATTCACTCATCACAACATCCCTGCACAATAGAGGTGGTATAATTATCCACATATTTGCAGAGAACACAGCAACCTAGACTTGCAGAGTCCAGGTAACTCTCAAGAGGGACAAAACTGTGATGTGAACCTGGGTTTCTAGGTTTCAGTGATCATGTTCTTGTTAGTATATGCCTTTATCTGAGAGTTCCCAAAATCTTTATCAACCTAAAACATTTCAGAAAAATGGAAACAAAATGAGTTCCCTAAAGTTTAGAGTCAGACAGGTACTCTTGGATCTTTTTCCAGCATAACTTTCCTCTGGCCCAAATGTGATGGAACCAGGCACACAAGAAATACAGGCATGTGATTCTGCAGGCCCTATGCCTCCCTTGAGTTCCAGCTTAGCCTCAGGGGAGAAGTCCCATTTGGGATTAGAGAGGGTTTAGGTATGACTATGGACCTTTCTCGTGTTCCCTTTTTTCCTCATTTCTTCTCCATCAACTTGTCTTCTTTCTTTATTCATCTGTTCCAATACTTTTGCTTGATGAGAATTTGGAGGAAAGTAAATTCTTAATTCCTCCTGTTACGCTTACCATTTCCTTGACAGTTTACCCCTGCATTCCGTATTTCACTGTCCTTCTTTTGACAAGTATTCCTTGAGTACTGCTGCATGCTAGAAACAGTCAAGCCACTGAGAATATAAAGGTGTTGCAGTAGAGTGTCTACTCATTGAGGTAGACTCATAGGATTGATCAAAATGTAACTGTGATAGAAGCGTGCCAAAGAGCCTGCCTTCATCTTGGGAGGTAAGGGAGGGCTTTGTGCATGAGACAGTGCTGAAGGTGGGTCTTGAAGGATGAACAGTTAAGTATTGCTGAGAGAAGGGCAGTATCAGCATACTCATGTGGAAGCCATGAAGGTAAGAAGCACGGCCAAAGCCACAAGAAGAGTTTAGGGCAGCTCTGGGATCATTGCCCAGTACCCTCCTCTCTCAGGCCTGAGTTCTTCCTTGGCCTCAGTTTCTGCCTTTGGCAGTAAAGCCCGCTGGACTGCAGGTACCTGAGTGGGTTATGTCCTGAATAGGAAGCTCTGAATATTCTATTAGCCCAGCTATTGATTTGTGGTAGGTGTGGCCTTGCCTTCAACAGCCCCAGCCTTTTTGTCAAATAAATAAAATAGTTTATTACTGAGTGTTTGGGAAGAGCAAGTAATGAAATTATGCCTTTAATCTTTTATGGAAAGACTTTCCATGTGTATGTGTTGGAGATAGGAAGCTACTAAAAATAAACTGTGGAAATATTTACATGTATTATCAAGATAGATTATGCAAAATAATTATGAAACTCAGATATGTTCTCCTTTAAAATAGTTATTTATTTCTAAAATCTCTTTGCCTCTTTAGGTGATTAAAAATTCTGGCCAACTCCCAAGAGAGAAAGTAGCCGAAGATTTTGTCTGGGCTCAGTGGGACATGTCTGAGCAGAGACTGTACTACATTGATCTGAAGGTAAAAAGTGCTCCACTGGCCCTCCTTTTTATGGCAGTGTTTTAATTTTGACATTATTGTTATTGTAACTTGTTAATTAACTACATTTTCATTGATGGGGATAGTAAATGAAAGTTTACTATAGATAATGAAAAGGTTTTCATTACTGTTTGCTCCTTGGCTGCTTCCTTTCCTCTCTCTCTTTAAACTAGTATTTTTGTTGGTGTTTGTCAATTTGTCACTTATTCTGTTTTCTCTTTTAGAAATCAAGGAGTATCTTAAAATGTATTCAGTTTTATTCGAATGAGCACTTTAACGTAATGGTAAGTCCAGAGATTGGGCTGCAGGAAATTTTATCATCGTATCATTGCCACCTTTTAAGGAGTTGTTATTGTAAATAGCATTGTAATATTCTTGATGCTGTTGTGTTAGTCACTCGTATGAGCAAGTGAAATAGTTCTTGCCATCTCAAGACTTCAGCGCTGTAACAAATGCAGTTAATACTGGTGGTTAGAAGAGCATGCACAGGCAGTTTCTGCTAGCTGAATGCCTCACGTTACAGAAACATGGGTAAGAGAGGGTTAGTAGAATGTAGTAGGCATGATCAGTAGTAGATAGCATGAAAGGATTATTTATGCAACATTTGATCCAAAAGGACATGAGAGAAAAATAAATTAATTAATAAACAAACAAATAAACAAAAGGATGTGAGAGGACAGTGGATTTGAGTATAAGGTGAAAAGTCAATGAGCAGGTATAGTTTAATTAGTGAAAATCTAGAATCACTCCTGGAAAAGCTATTTGGAGCACTAGCCTTGCAGTGAGGAGTTGCAAATATCTTTATCTGTGATGGACAGACATTTTATTCTTCTTGAGTAGGATTGATACCGGTGTGTAATATAAATTGATATCGTATTTCATTTCCTTTTCCTGTCCTTTGTTTTTGACTCATTCTCTTTCTAAAGACACCCAGTCCTCTCTTCCTTGTGTGGTCATCTGTGTCTTGTAAAAAATCAATTCCTTCCAACTGGCTTATGATGTAACCCATTTATGATAGTCAAATGTGAAGCAGAATTTGCCCTTTGAGAAATCAGTGTACATCAAGCTTGTGATGTATATGAACTCCTATGCTGTGGCCTTGGGGGAGAGAGAGCCTCTGGAGATAACGCTGGTTAGGGGAGCGCTTCATCCTTAGACAAGAGCAGTGTTGTCAGGCTTGCTCTGGTTTCCAGAACTGTCATCACTTAATTAATGTCTTTGTTTTTTTTTTTGCTTTGTTTTCTGCTGATTTTTTTTGACAGTTTGAAGCACCCTTGGACATATCATTAAGTGACTCAGGATTCAAGTAAGCTATTCATAGATTATTATTTTTATAGACACTTGTGGGCAGAATGATTATATGTATCCCTAATCTATGGTATGCAGATAAAAGGATAATTTGATATTCTCTGTATATATGTGTGTGTGTGTGTGTCTCTTCTATTTCTGTTCTCTGTAGGGAATATAAACAATGCTGTCAAGCAGAAACACAGGGTGTTTCCATGTAAAGTCAATCGTATTGATTTTCTCAGCCATTTATTTCTGAGGGCGTCTCCATTTATTTTGATCTGTGGAAGTGCTCTTCACCCTGCGATTCCATAAACAGACTCAGTGAGTCAGAGAGAGCTACGTTCAGGATCGAACATCAAAACCCTCTTCTTGTTACCGTCAGAGAGGATGTCGCAGCTCAGCTGAATCTGTCGCTTTACTTTTTTCCTATTTTCTTTTTTACACAAAAAGCGAGGCTCCCCCCCATCCCAAACTATTTTACATGTAGTAAAAACATGAGACCCTTTTAAAAAAATAGACACAAGGCCACACATGCACAGAAGAAATGAAAGTCTTCTTGAATGAGAGTAATGATCATCTCAAACTGTTACATATTTAACTAGCTGTTTCAGCATATATGAATATTCAGTTGTGTTTATTTTTGAAACATACTGTAAACTCAGAACAGAGTCATAAAAATGTCATTGAAAGTAATATTTTTTTTCTGTATTATCAGGGCCATGCCATTTATGTACCATGTATTTTTAAAAGTTACAGTTTTATAGAATTTTTTTTAACAAAAAGACATTATCTACTTAAATTTCTCAAGGACATGTCTCTACTTTTGTGGGTACATTTTACTGGTTTATCCTTTATGAGGGAACTTATTTTTAAATGCATTTACAATTTCTTATTCTTTGTGTTCTTAGACTTGTCAACTTTGGATGTGATGATCTTCGAGACCAAGAGAAATTGTCCAAACATCTGACCTTGTATGTTTTCACCAACCGTACAGGTAGAACTGGGTTGTATTTATCAATTTATGCAATTACATTTGAGTTCCACACATTTAGTCATCATTTAGCCAAATGGATCCTGAAAGTAAAATATAATAGGGCCACATTCTTACATAAGTAAGCACACGGATATTTATATACTAAATTACATTCTCCACTGTAATTTTACACATCCGCTGTTTGCATAAAAGAAGCCACAGTCCAGTTATTGTTCTAATGGTTATTATTTGTATTATTGTTCTAACAGAGGCGATGGATTCATATTTAATCGAGTTCCATTTTCTCACCTGCTCCATTTTTAACAAGTGGTATATAATAATGCAAATGCTTTTTGTGTCAGGCTTACTGATATTTGGGTTCTAAGCCTACGTGCTTGGCTGCTTTAAGAGCTATGCTGAAAAAAAGAGAGCCATTTTATAACCTACTGAACTAACAATCAAAGCTTGGCATAAAGTTATTAGTGTACAGTATTGTCTCTTTTTTTTTCAGCTTTTTTTTTTTAATGGAGATACTGAGATTGAAGCCAGGTCCTTGTGCATGCTAAGCATGCACTCTACCACTGAGCTGTACCCTCCCCCTATTCTGTCTCTTAACATCTGCTTATTGCAGATAGAGAAATAGAGAGGGAAAAAATAATACCTGATCATGAGAGGAGTATGATTACCTTCAATGGTCTGGTGAGAAAACTGCTCATTAACCTTAATAACCATCTAAATAATCAACTGTAATAGCTAAATCTCACAGCCATTTTTAATATCCCAACTTGAGTGGACAGTAACCACTTGAGTTAAGTAGCGCTTGGACTAAAATTGCATTCCTTTAAAGCCAGACTGTGTCGTATTCATTGAGCCAACGTTTATGGAGCACTTCTTGTGTGCTGGGTATTGGGGCCACAGTGCTGAACAACCCTGACCTGACCTTTACTAGTAAAGAGTTACTATTTGGTATGGGTTTTAGACATTAAATAAGTGCACACATAGTATTGAATAGAATCATGATACATGTTGTGAGTGAGAATTGTAGGAACCTATGGAAGCATGTGATGGAGATTTAATGAAGATACCAGTATCTTCAGATAGGTCTTTGTTCCGCCAGTTCATTCTGTTTCAGTCCTGCAAATTGCTTCCTTTCCCACCTTACTCCTTCATAATCCACCCTATATGTTCCTGTCTATCCTGGGTCTCCCTCAGCCCCACAGGTCCCTCCATAAACCAGTCTTGGGGAGTTTAGGGAAAGAAATGATATTTCCCTTGTGACGTGAAGGATGTGTGTGAACTAAGAACAGTGTAACTGAAGTAGAGTGAGGGTGGGGAGAGTATTGTGAGAGAAAGCTGAATAGGTAGGCAGGGGCCAGATTACATAGTGCCTTGCAGACCATGGAAGGATTTTAGGTTTTATCATAAGAGTCATAAGGTCATTAAAGTTTTTTTTTCTCTTATGATAACAGTTTATTTTGAGAATGCTTAAACATGGAGAAAAGTTCAAGAATATGGTGAACATTGTGTGCCTTTTACTTAAATAATCATATCATTCACAGTATTTGCTTTATCATTCTCCACTTGTATAGATAGCATTTTATCCTTTTGACTAAACCATTCAAAAGTAAGTTGCAGACATTGTGACACTTTATCACTGAATAATTCAGGATGTATCTCCTTAGGTTAAGGATACCCTTACATAACCTCAGTTCCATGATCACTGAAGAAATTGACTGCATTAATTAGTAAACTGTTTTGTATTCAAGTAGCCATAATTGTTTTCTAAAAAGTCCTTTTTGTGTGTATGTATATATGTGTATGCATATACATGAATACACGTGTACATATATAACTTTTAAAGGCAGGATCCCATCAAGACTCATGCATTACATTTAGGTCTTATGTCTTTGTAGTCTCTTAATGTAGACCAATTCCCATCTCCTTTTTTCTGTGCCTATTTTTTTTCTTTTCATAACATTGACATTTTGAAAAGGCCAGGCCATTTGCCTTGTAGAATGTCTCATATTCTGAGTTTGTCTAATTGTTTCTTTGTAGAAGTATTTAACTTCTTTCTCTTTCCTTTACCTTTTCTGTACACTGGAAGTTAGGCCTAAAGGCATTCTTAGATCATAGGTTGAACTTTTTTGGTGACAGTACTTCATAGGTGATACTATGAACTTTATTTGCACCAGAGCAGGAGACGTAAATTATAAAGGTGTCCTACTACTAGTGACACTAAGTTTGGTCATTTGGTTGAGTGGTAATGACTGCCTGTCTCCTTTGAAAAGCTACACTTTAACCTTTGCATTAGTAACCTGTGAGGTGATACTTTGGCATTAAGTGATTGTCCTCTTCCCCAACAAGTTTTCATCTGGTGGTTTTAAGATCCATTGATGCTCCTTCACGGAAGTGTTTTAAGTAGATAGTGACATGATTAGACATGCATTTTTAAAAGACCACTGTGGCTGCTGTGTGAAGAATGGCTCAAAGGAGTCAAGAGAAAAAGTGGGGAGCTGAGAATTTGGATGAGGTTGTACCGATACACTTGAGAAGAGGGTGCCTTGAACGAGGATAGGCAGCAGAGGTGGAGAGGACTTGGTAGGTTTGAGATGAGTTTTAGAGATGGACTGAGGAGGCTTACTATAAACCAGAAGGAGAGGAATGTTTCTTTGGCACCAACAAATGGCTGAACAGTGGTGCCATTTACTGAGGGAGAGTGGTTCTGGTGGGGCTTACAAAGGGAGATTGTGAGTTTTATTTTGGACATGTTAACTAAGAGATCTGGACATTAGAAGTGGGGTGTCAGGACTGGAGATGAATAAACATGGAAGTTATTAGACTGTTGTTGGCATTTGAGAAGCTAGTATGCCGGGAAGAAGCATTTGAAGCCATGGGAGGAGTATGGGGTCAAAAGGGAAGAGGTTTAGAAATAAGATCTGGGAACAGAAATATATAAACGTTACATGGAGCATCTAAAGAATAAAGAAGAACATATGGAGAGAGAAGAGGAAAACCGGTGAGGTGTTAACAGCAGCCAAGCGCTGAGGGGATTTCCTTAAAGAAAGTGGCTGACCGTTAATAAGTAGCGAGAGATAGAGTCTGTTGGGTCTAGCAGCATGGATATCACTTTGGGTGGTTTGTGTTGGGTAATTGAGGTGATTGTACTGGGTTAAGTGATGTGTGGAAGTTGAAAAAATTATAACAGCATGTGCAGACATGAGAGAGGCAGTTGGTGGGGAAGGTATAGCTCAGTGGTAGAGTACATGCTTAGCATGCACGAGATCCTGTGTTCAATCCCCAGTACCTCCACTTAAAAAAAAATTAAATAAATAAACCTAATTATCCCCTGCCCCCCCCCCCAAAAAAAAGAAAAGAAAAAAGAAAAAAAATGAGAGAGGCAGCAGCTGGAAGGGGAAGTGGAAATTAGGGAATATATTTTTTAAGATAGTAGAGAATCCACTGTGTTTGAACACTTATAGGATATGTAGGGGCAAGAGGAAAGGTGAGAATTCGTAGCAGAGAGGAATAACCTGCAGAGCGCATTTGCTTAGAAGGTGGGATGTAATGAGCTCATGTGGGATCCAGAGCTCATGTGACGGGACCAGGGTAGGTTCTACCCTGGTACTTCACTTTCAGTCTGTTGGATATAAACAATCATTTTAAGCTTTTATTCCATGAAGCTTTTATTCCTTTTCATTTTATTCCCTTAGGAATTTCTCATGAACAGTAGCAGTTTATAAATGGGCCACTGATGACATATCATAATAAATAAAATGTTCAGTTAGTCTGGCAGGAGCTGTGAAAGAGTCTGTTTTTTTCTTTTCTCAGCAGCATCTAGGAGAGTAGAAAATGCACCTGGCTCTTCCCAGTCAGCTTTGAAATAGGAAAAACAAGCCTGTTTCAAATGGGATGCTTCCACATTTAAGATGAAACAAGCCAGAGAAGAAACCTTTTGGTTTTCAGCTAGTAAGTTGCTAGTTTAGGTATTTCCCAAGTTACTTTTCAAAAATTATTTTTTACCTTTGTGGTTAAAACACACAGGAATCTATGTCAGGGAAGCAGGAATGGAGAGGGGAGCAAATAGTCTAATCCCTGCGTGGCTCCCTCTGTAATAGGGAGCTTATTTTCCACCGATGTAGAGATCAGAGCACATGGGTCATGAAAGGAGTGCTGACAGACCCAGAGCCTTATACACACTCAGCTTATTTCAACTGTTTACACTAATGATGATGCTGTAATACTATTTGACATTCAGTTGTCATGTATTGGTCATTGGGAGCTACTTTGTCCTTCCAGCATTACTTCTTGCATTCTTGAAAGCATCTTTGTCCTGAATTTTCCTTCTCTAAGAAATGAAATCTGCTACCTTCCAAGGAATTCAAGGTTAAAATCTGGACAATGAGGGTGCTGATGAGAGTTGGTGATGGGCACAAGCTCTGCTCTTGTCAGGCTACTTATGTATTAAGATTGTGAGTTCATGTAGATTTTTCTAACAAATCTTTTACAATAGGAAGGTGAATCAAAGACTTTCTAAAGCCTTGAAGGAAAGAAACCCTTCCCTGTCTCATAGTCAGCCCTGTAGCTGTACTTAGAGGCTTGCTCTTGCGTGTTCTATGTCAATGGTGGCTTTAGTTCTTTCTTGTGCACCACCTACTGGGAGGTAGTGAGGGGTACAAAGTGTAAATTCTCCTTTCTGTACATATAATTACAAGCATTGCCCTTCGCAAGTTCCCAGAATTAGGCCTGTGTTTTAGCATTTTATAGAGCCTTTTACAATGAGATAATTTCCCTTGGAAAACTTTGTCCATAATAGCTTTCATTGTCCAAATGGTTTCCCCCAGGCTGGCCAACTTTGAGATGTTATCTTCATCACTGATGAATATTCATTAAACATCTCTGGATACGCCATTAAGAGCATGCTTTGTTTTTTCAAACTGTGACTTCCCTCAGCTTCTAAATAGCAGAAGAATTATTCTGGAATAATAATAATAGCAGCTAACCTTTATAACCAGATATAACTTCTTTGCCAGAACTTTATATGTATTGTCTCATTTGACTCTCACATTAGAACCATGTGAAGGAGGTTCTATGTTTTCTTTATTTACATATGAGGAAACTGAGGCTTAGAGAATTTAATTAACTTGCCTCAGGCAAATTTTTAAAATGTTGATGCCTGAGTCTTACCCCTAGAGATTCTGATTTAGTTGATCTCAGGAGGAGCTTGGGCACCTGTGAGCCCTGGTAATTTTAATGTACTTTCAGGGTTTAGAATCAGTGCTCCAGAGTTGAGTTGTCCAATAGGGTAGCCACCAGTCACATGTGGCTATTTAAATTTAAGTTAATTAGAATTAGATACAATTTAAAAAGAGTTCCTTGGTCACACTAGCCACATTTTAAGTGCTCAGTAGCCATATATGGCTAGTGGCCACCTTACTGCCAGCATAGCTGTAGACCATTTCCATTATCAAAGAAATTCTCGGGATGGGAGAGCCTTGCAGAGCCTGTGCACAGCCTGTTTCCCCTTGCTGTGTCTTTCCCTCCTCTCTGGGATTGGGAGGGGGAACTAAGCCACAACCTAACTATTTGGAGGTATTTGCTTATGAGATCTGAGTATGGCTCTCAGTGAATGTAATTAGGTACATTTACTCTACATCTCACCTTAGCCTTTCTTCAAAACAAGGAAAACAATAGCCTCCATTCTCTAAAGGGTGGTGTGCGGAGGTTATGATCTTCCTTGTGTTGTTGACATTTCATGTTCACTCCTCAGGATAGATTCCTAAAAGAAGAATTACTGGGTCAACAGGTGTGAATATATTTAATCCTCCACAAAACTGCCTTTCAGAGACGTTGTACTAGTTCACTGTTCCACTACAATTATTTGAGAATGTTCTTTCTATTGCTCCCTTGACAGAATTCATTATCATTTTTAAAACTTTGCTAATTTGAAAGGAAAAATAGAGTGCCTTTTTCTAATTCTTATTTCCTTATTACTGGAGAGGTTGAAATTTTAGCTCTGTTTGCAAAATTTGTCTTTCTCCCTGTGATCATAGTGCGTAGAACAGAAGAAACTAGTAGATTTCTTGTTGGTAGTATATTTACTTTATGAAAATAGCCCAAGTGGTAAATGGGACTTCTGTAACTCTTATAATTGGTATTTTTGTTTATGGTTTAGTATAGCATTATTTTATTCTTAGTAAGTTTGCTGTAATTTTAAAGAAAAGGTATTATCATTGTAGTGCTCATTAACCATAACAGTAATTTTAAGTAAGCCAACTTTAAAAAATTTTTTTTTCTAGGTGGGGAGGTAATTATGTTTGTTTGTTTGTTTGTTTATTTATTTATTTATTTTAATGGAGGTACTGGGGTTTGAACCCAGGACTCATGCATTCTAAGCGTCTACTTTACCACTGAGCAATTACCCTCTCCCCATAACAGTAATGTAAAACCTAACAGAATTGTTACTTTTTTATCTGATAAAGTTATTCTTTTTTGTTATTTCGTGTTTAGGATATTGCACTAATATGAATTTCGCACAACATATTGCAGTCTTAAAAGTCATTTAAAATGGTCACATATGACAAATGGTATAAGAAAATGCTTAAACATGTCCTTAAATAACCTTCTTAGGGAAAGTGGACCTTTTTCACTACCATGATTCTTTGATAAAGGAAGTCTAGTGGAGTATGGTAAAGGAAATACTGAGATTCACTGAAGTATAATAATGATTGAATTCACACAGCTAGTTAATATTAGCTCTGGGACTCGAACCCAGGTTTCTAGACGCCTTGTCAAGTTCCTTTCCATCCCAGAACTCTCCTACTGCAGGTAATTTCATAAATGCTAGCATTAGAATTAGAAGTATCAGTTTAAGCGTAATGCCGTCATTTGTAGGTCACTGATGGACTTATCTAGTCCTTCTAAGTGGCAGCAGCTGCTAGAGATGATGGACAGTTTTACACATTGAAGAGGGTGGGAATGGTGAGGTGTTCTGGAGTGGTGAGGTAAGTGAAAGCCATCAGGGCTCATCTGGAAAGGCCACTCTATCCCAGGAGCTCACCTTTGCCCTTGGGTCCTGGCCCTCAGTGACCCAGATATGTGTGGGGACGGGCTCACACACCACATGTACTCTCATTGCCCCAGTTTGTCTTCCACTCGAGATAAAAAAGAAGATTGGAAACTTTCTGTAAAGAGGAGACATATTTTTGATAAACTGGGTCTATAGCTATTAGGAATGGCTGGAAAACAAGCTAAAAAAGAGCATGGGGCAATATGTGTATATCAGGAGAATCTTATGAAGCTTTGTAAACTTATCCAGACTCCCATGATTTCATATCCAGGAGCGTGTCTCTATGCATTTTCCTAGCCTTCCATACCTACCACAATACATTGCTTATAGCATGTGCTGAGTAATCGTTTAACCAAAATTTCTTAGCAACTTATTAATAGTCCATTTCTGGAATTTGGAAATAATCTATCAGGTAAGTTGAAGCAGAACATCTAAAGGATTAAAAGTAAGGTTAAGTAGCTTAGGAAACTTTTTATTTGTGATTCTTTTAAACTATACTAAATACCTTCTTCCTTCTAGGAAGTTTGTGTGTATGTTACTGCCCGAACGTTGACTCTTGGGAGCAAATCACATATTCAGTGTTTTACTTTCATAAAGGTACTTTTCATTTTTACTTTGATATAATAATTTTTCCAAATTAGATAGATTTTTAAGGTCTTTTTACCTTGTAATAAATTTGATCAGTACATTGTATACCGGTATACCTATATAATATATGTTTCCTTAAGAAATTCACGAATGATGTTAACTAATTATGTTTATATTACATTTTGGATGATATTTTTGTAATATCTTTTTTTCCTGATCTATATCTTTCTTCTAGGCCTCTAGACCAATCCTAATGGACATACTTGCCCAAAGTTTGTGTATATTTGCTGTTTTATTGTTACTGATTGGAAGGTACCAATAGATTTAACTTACAAATGTACATAGGATTTTAGTTAAAAGTTTCCATGGGCCCAGACCTTAACAGGTCTTAGACCTAAGATACATTTATTTCATTTCACACACATGTGGCCCAAGAAATTGATGTCAACAGTTACCCTGGGGGACAGAAGTAAAGTGCCCAATCTTTTCTAGTTCTGTAGTCAATCACAGAATGCCCTTTAATAGTTTTAGTCCGAATGATACTAAACAGTATTTATTTTGTTTGTTCAGTTCCTTAAAATTAGTATTTATGTAATGCATACTGTGGGTAGAATTAAAATTGTTTAAAATTAAAAATTTCAAAATTAAAAAAAAACGTTTTGCCAAGTCACATAGAGTTTGTTCTGCAGGAGTGCCCACTATTAATTTCAGAAGTTAGAAATCAAAGTAAGAAAGTTGAATAACTTAATAATGAAGAAAGTAAGAGTAACTTCGGAAGAAGACATCTATACATGCTTTAATAGTATGAGTTTGATATTTGTGGAAAGTTTTCATACATTTTTCTAACGATTAATCTGATGCTTAAAGCCAGTAAATAAAACTTCTTTGAAAGTTTTATTAAGAGCTAATAACTGTGATTAAGAGTTAGAAAAGTGGAGGGTGAAGCCCAACACTACACTGAGTTTAGTAGATAGCCTAAACCGTTGCTGACTCACAGTGGGATTCCTAAGTGATTCGGCGAAGCCTCATAGGTTGTTAATGACTGCAAGTGTGCCAGTGACCTTGAGGCCTGAGGGCCAGTCAGCCACCTGGTCTCCTCCACCTCTTGGGCCCTTAAGTAGATTTCTTCAGATCCTTCTGTCCCAGCACAGCCCAGTTTTTAAGGTCTAAGATTAGGCATAAAACCGGAACAAATACTGAATTGTGACTGCACTCAGGTGACCCACCTTCAGTGCTGGCTTTTGGAGAATGGTGGGGAACCTTGAGATCTAGGACTCTGAAGACACTTGCTTTGTCAGTTTCGCAGATACTCAATGTTGAGAGCATGACATAGAGCCACTGCCTTGGGTGGAATTCCAGCTCTTCGTTTCTTAACATCCTTTCTCTGGCTTCATGTTCTCTCTCCACAGGACATAGCAAGACCTTCACTGTTGCTCTTGGGAGTGTTGATTCACGTGTTACAAAGGGCATTACTTTTCTCAACCTCGGTGAGTGAGAGGCATGTGTGTCTCTGTTCTGACCCTTCCTTCCAGTACATGTTATGCCTCAGCCTTCTATTTCTCATTTTTCTTTGCACCCCATTTTCTTCTGCCTCTTTGGGATTTGGGTTGTGAAGACTACCACTAACCTTTTTGAAGCCTGATGGGGGAAGTTTTCTCTGGCAACCCACCCCCCACCCCCACCAAAATTAGCCTTTTGTCAGCAGGGCAGGGAGGATGCATCTCCTTTCTTAGAGAACCTAGGCTGTGAACTTTCTTACGGTTTTAGTAGCAATCCTAAAAAGCCATTTGTTAGTATAAAAATGATTACAGTGAATGAGATGTTTCCTAAAAGCCTGTGGGAAACAATACATCATGTTGTCCCCTGATTCTAGACGGACAGAAGCCCCTGGGAAATTGCCCATTCTCTGTCGCTAATTGCTAAAAGCTTCCAAGTCCCATAAATGATTTATGGATCAGCCAGAGTGACCTGCTTTACACTGAGTAAATCTGATAAAGGGAACTTAAGTATTAGGCTTAAACATATTAAGCAAGTGTATCAGGAAGAAAATAAAGAAGGGGGTTATTGTACCTCCCTACTGAAAGCTGCTTTTCCATGCCAGTTGGGATGAGAGGCACAAACAGGTTAGCACAAGACTAAACAGAACTGTTGCTTGCCTGCAGATGGGACATGGCACAGCATTTTAAAAAGAAAAGCTTCAGGTGTAGAGTGCATGATTCTTTGATATCTTCTATCCCAGTTCCCCAGTCCATCTGCTCTCATGACAAAGGCTTAGGAAGGTGTGATGTGAGGGATCTGGGCAAAGTGAGAACCAACAAGGTAAGAAAGTCCTTAAAAAGATTTGTTCAGTCTTTTTAAATTGAAGCATAGTTGATTTACCATATTGTATTAGTTTTAGGTGTACAACATAGTGATTCAATGTTTTCCTAGATGATACTCCATTTATAAAGCTATTACAAAACAATGGCTATATTTCCCCATGCTGTACAATATATCCTTGTTTATCTATTTAGCTTATTTATTTTATACATAGTAGTTTGTATCTTTTAATCCCCTACATCTATCTTGTCCCACCCCTCTTCCCTCCCACTAGTAACTAGTTTTTTCTCTTTATCTGTGAGTGTGATTCTGTTTTGTTATATGTGTGTGTTTTTTAGATTCCACATACAAGTGATAGCATAAAGTATTTTTCTTCCTCTGTCTGACTTATTTCACTAAGCATAGTACTCTCTAGGCCCATTCACATTGCTGTAAAAAAAAGATTTTTATCTTGAATGATGCGATTGATGAGGTAAGGTATCTTATGCTCAGTGGGCCAGTATGTGGCAGTTTTTAATATGAGCTCTGAACCTGTGGGAAATTGCTTTAGAGAGGCCTGATTCTACTGCTTCCTGTGGTAAGAGAGATAAATATAAGGTTTCCTGGGTCTGGGACTTGATTCTTATCAGCAATGCTATATCAGCATCCCATCTCAAGGGTGATGTGGGAAACTTTCCACTAAAAAAACTTAGCTTTTTGTGAGGTCAAAGGGATCCTTCCCTTCTTTTTTTTTTTTTTAACCCTTGGGAATGACTCTTAAAAAGGGCAGGCATGATTTAATCTAGGATCTTCAGAGTGTGGAGAGGGTAGAAATACTAGAGCTTTGTAAAAATAGACTGTGTCTTACATAGGTCATCTTTCCTTCTTAAAACAGATTTTATTTTATAGGCATAAAATTGTACCCAAGATTAAAACTGCTCTAGTGGTAATTTTGATGACAACAGTATTGCTTTTTGAGTGATGTCTTTTTGTTTTGTTTCGTTTTGTTATTTATTGCATACAATTTTCCCGAACTGTCACCCTGCTATAAGGGACTTACATTGATTTAAATATTAAAGAATAGAGTTTTTGTGGAAGTTTTCCATGAACCCCAAACACCTCTATATAAAAAAGATATGTTTATACATTAAAAATGACTATTTTTAAAATGAATAGTACATGCTAAGTGTTTTACTAACATTATCTTGATCCTTACAACAATTCTTCTTGGTGACATTATTCTCATTTTATAGATAATGAAACTGAGGCTCAGAAAGTCTGTGGTGTGTGCACAAGCTTCTTTCAGTGTCTCTTATCCAGGGCACTATAATAGTTTCTTTTTGCTGCAATAAGGAATCACCACAAATTTAGCCCTTAAATAAATATATTGTCTTACGGTTCTGGAAGTCAGAATTCTGAAATGAATGAGTCTTGAGGGATCAAGGTTGGGGCAGAAATGTTTCCTTCTGGAGATTCCGGGCAAGAATTCATTCTTTGCCTCCTACAACATTTAGGGGCTAGCATTACTTGGCTTGTGACCACATCACTCCAGTGTCTTTCATCATCATGTGGTCTTCTCTTCTGTAGTCGTGTCCCCCTTCCTTCCTCTTAAAAAACCATCTGTGATTACATTTGAGTCCAGCTGGATAATCCAGGATATTCTTCCTTATCGCAGGATCCTTAATCACATCTGCAAGTTCCCTTTTATCACTTACGGTAACATTTTCACTGGCTCTGGGAATTACAACATGAACATCTATCTTTGGGAGCCGTCATTCAGCCTACCTACCACAGGTTCTGTTGACATTTTTGGTGAGACAGTAACATTTGTGTGATAGTGTCTTGCACATTCAGGGATTTAACATCCTTGGGGCCAACTCATCAAATGGCAGTAGGAATCCCCCTCTGCCCCAGTGATTGTGACAACTCCAAACACCCTCATGTATTTCCAAATGCCCCCCCTCCCAGGGACATAGTACCACCCTAATTAACTGGTTAAGTGGTAGGGCTAGGAGTTAACCTAGGTCATTGGATACCTTTCCACTGTGCCCTACCATGTCATTTTGTGTTTTTCTGCTTAAGTGTTGCTATAATGTGCTAAGTACTTTACTATCACTTAATCCATGGTGACTGAAGGGACACTTGTAAGTCAACTGGTTAGAGTCTTACATCCTCTTTCCTTTCCCTTCCACAGAATGCCTTCTATGCAAATGATTAGCATGTATTTCTTTGCTTCTTAGGGAAAAAAGAGTCCAGCTGGCTCTCTTATAATCTAAATGTTTCATCTATATGAAATTCACTAGTATTGTGTAAATTTCTGTTTTTCTAAGATCCTAGAGAAATTATTGGCAAGGGCTACTTCCACCCTCCCATTTTCCAGAAACCTATTTTTTGCACCTTGCCTCAGTCTGTGTGCAAATGTTCTTAGTACAAAAATATCTACTGCAGGGACTGTGAAGGTGTGAATTCTAGGCAAGTATCTGTGCAAGGAAACAAACTAGTCCCTCACAAAGTGTCAGAATGCCTGCAGAGGCTGTTTGGCTGAATATCAATGTAAAGTTTCTTTCGTTGATGGTGGTAGTGAAGACGATGAGCAGTGGGCAAACATAGGAAACTAGATTTTACAGCTTGCCCCAAATGGCAGAAATTATGAAGGAAATTCCCATTATAAGCTGTTTCAAGCCTGTCAGATTAAGGAATAGCTCATGTTGCTTAATATTTTTTATTCTAACTTGCTCTCAGAGCTCATTTAGACTCATATAAAGCCACAATTCAATTAGAAATAAAGCTACAGATGTAAATTAAGACCATGGCTAAATGTCTGAAGAAAATTAGCCACAGACAGAAATAAATGAGAGTGACTGGTCAGATGAAATGTATTGACTTACACCTTAATATTACATCGGTCAAAACTTTTGTGTTTTAAGAGGCTCAAAGAAAAATAGGGACACAGTAAAGTTCTTGGCTTTATCTGTACCTGTATGGCTCTTGCCACATGGAGATGATTTAAGTCTTTCTCTTCCACAGACTATTATGTGGCTGTTTACTTACCTGGTCATTTCTTTCATCTGCTTAACATTCAGCACCCAGACCTGATCTGCCACAGCCTATTTCTGACAGGTATGGCTATAGTTCTCCCCTCATGAACACGGTCCATTTGGGTTTGTTTTAATGTTTTAACATTAATATTTATATCTTGGGGAGAAGGGGGGTTTTTTATTTGCTGATTCTTTTTTTTTTTTTTTTTGACCAGGAAACAATGAAGTGATTGATATGCTACCTCACAGGCCTTTCCAGTCGCTGTCAGGGACCCTGGTCCTGGATGGGGGCTCTGGGAAGCTCTATAGGGTGCTCCTCAACCAGTCATATTTATTGGAGTTCCTGCGGGACACCCGGCTGGACTGTGAGAGGATGGCCTTGCTGCACTGCGTGCTCTCATGTGGCCGAGACCCACGGCGACTGGAGGCCAAGGTGGGGGTATAGCTTATGTTTAAAAACTGGCTAATGGACAGCACACAACGTATACGTTCAGTGGTCAAAATGAACAGAAGTTACTTTTACTTGGTAACAATGGATGTTTATGGTCTCTGTCCTGACTTGAACATATTGTTCCCTTGTGCTCCTTCTTCATGGACACAGACCTCAGACTGTGAGGGCAGGTCTGTTCTGACTGTTCTCTTTCCCATATTGTGAGTAAATGTTTTATCAGACACATTCCAAAGAAGTGTTCGGTAAATACTGAGTTTCTCAAATATCTACTTTTTCTCCTGATCTGTATTTGGTGTATATCATCAAAAGGACTAAAATCTAGTGGTAAATAAAAATCTATTTATTACATTTTAAATAAAGATAGCTTACACTTAAAGTTATATTTCACATTACAGTTTATGAAGCACTTTCACACTTCTTATAATGTTACAGCCATTCTGTGAAGCTAGAGAAACCCCCCATTAAACTTGTTTGGGACCAATAGGTGGTTGGGAAATTGAAAAAAAGATATCCTAAATATTTTAACCTAAAACATATAAATGCACATTTATTCACCTATCTTTTGGTGTAGATTAAGGCCCTTTCTTTTTATATCAGCTAATTGGGAGTCCAGAATCATTTTTCTTACATAAAACCACTAGTAACGTCTTGTCTCTGACTGCCTATTACTTTCTTTTTCTTTTCTTTTCATTTTTTCCCCTAAAGAGGTGAATAGTTTAAAGATCCTTTCAAAGCAATTTGTGTGTATCCAGCAATTTTTTTCCTCAGTCTTTTATAGTTGTCTCACTTATGCATAGTTTTTTAAATAAGTGTTCTAGAGACATGCCTTTGAGTCTTTCCCAAGCATTCAACTTTTTATTGACCCACCGGCACTCTTTTTGCATCCACATTTCACCTGTCTATGGTAATTTTTTATTAAATTACTTAATTGTGAGAGTAAGTACAACTAGCACGAGTACGTTTGGAAATAAGAACAACTTACTGGCAGGAGCAGAAACGCGAGTGCTCCGTGGCTGGACAAGCTTTATAGCGTCAACTCTACGGTAGGGAACAAGGGCTTTCATTCCTGCATTGGGAGAGGATGGTTATAGAGACTGTGACAGAATTGTTGATGTAACATGGATCGCACCTTCCTTGGGAAGACAGTATATAGCCCTGCGTACAACGATTAAACGGTGTGACTAGCTGGAATTTAGACCCAGCTCTGCTGCCTCCAAGCTCATTGGTTGGGTTGCGTTTTCTTCTATATCCCACAGCTCTTCAGACTGCTGCTTTGCTATAATATGTCCTACTCTAGCAAAAACAAACAGTGGGTTGAAGAAGGCTTATTTGGATTCCAGCCAAGGGCGTTTATTAAAGTGATACATAAAAAGCATCTCATTTACAATGCTGTTTTACCCACACGGTCTTGCATTATGTGTCTTGAAGACAGTATCAGTGTGAATGTATTCTCAGGCAATTCCAGAATAGATTCAGAATTTTTAAAGATTCATGTGTATTTTGTACTTCTTTGGTGGGAGTGGGGGTGCTCAGGGTGCAGATTTAAATACCAACAGAGTTGTCTTCTTACTTTTCAAAGATTATTCAGTGGATTTCTGAGAACATCTCGGCCTGCCATTCATTTGACCTCATTCAGGAATTTATAATTGGTAGGTGTTGCTGATGTTAAGTTGAATCCTTGACCCTTTTGCTTGAGGGAAAGCAGTAAATTGGTAATGCCTCAGTCTGTTGAAATGCTGGTAAGGAGAAATTTTTTTAAAAAACTCTATTGTAGTCAGCAGCTAATTAAGTTTCATTCTCTTGTGGTTTTGTGAGAAGCTGTGGCTGTTCAGAGACTGATGAGATATCAGATATGATCTTAATTCTATAACCTTATTAGTGATTTTTTTTTCTGTACAGTTTAACTTTCTTTGTTCAGTTTTGTACTGGCTGGTTCTGTGTGAAGCGGTATAATGTTATTTGGGTAGAAGTACGTGCCAAATACATTTTAAAAAAAATAATTATCATATAAAAAGCAGAACCTGAACATTTTAATCTGTAGATAGAACCATCACAATTCGCCTTTTGAGGATGAGGATGGAGGCAATGAAAACTCTTGTTGGTTTGTTTATTTTGGTGAATTACGTCTATTGCCCTATTCTTATTAAAATATGTCTCTTTCCCCCCCTGAAATTTGCTCAGCTTCTTCATATTGGAGCATCTATCCAGAGACAAGTAACATGGATAAACTTTTGCCATATTCCTCACTGCTCACCTGGAATACAGTAAGTTAACACTTTGTATTCCTTATGTAATTACAGTTGATTCACAGTTGTGGGTCGGCTGTATGACACCCCTGTCACAGTAATCAAGGCTGTGATTTCATTTCTGTTTTGACTCATAAGGATCTGAGTTGGAGTTTTCTGGTAGAAAAATAATAGTGAATCCTTGCTGTTGGACAAAGGTATTTATATAAAGCAGTAGAACTGAAGGAGAAGGTACAGCCTATGTGTTACTCTCCCTACTACTAAGCAGAATTAAGCCTCTATCACTTTCAGATGGTTTTAGTTTAAATTTCTTTTTAGCAACTAGAGTAGATGAAAATACTTCTTAGGTTTTTATAAATGAGGAACGACTGAACTACTGCCGTTATTCTGAGCTGTTCTATTTACTTAGTAGATTAGCACCTTCATGACCTTTTTCCCCCAGCCTTAGAAAGAAGATCTACTAACTCTAGAGCTTCAAGATCAGTAAAAGTCAGTAATCTTAAGCAAATTCCCTCCATTCAATCTTTTCTTCCTGTTGGTCAGTCTCCCTTCCTTTTCATTGAGAAGAAATGTTTCAAAATAAAACATTGTTCATTTTCTCTTGAACATGGTTCAGTAAACTGAGCTTTGTTGGATCAGAAGTGAAAACCATGTACAGGCTGCCCCTGAAAAAGATTCTGCCTCTTTTCCTTTCATCTTTAGATGTCAGAACTACTATATGCTTAGTCTTGAGTTAGAGGTTTATATCAAAAAGGCATTTAGAAAAATAGATTTAATTCAGGCAACACAGACATACGAAAACAAGTATTAGGATAAATTATAACAATTCCTGTTTTGTTTTGAGACTAAGTACAGTCCTTAAAAAGATGTATCATGCGTGTTTGATTAATTTCTAAATATTGGGCATGCACAATAGTGGTGTTTCCCAAAGACCCTTTCTTCTTGTCGCTCACTGTTAGAGTTATTAAACTTTCATGACTCACTCTAGAATTACAAGGGAAAGATCTGAGCTTGTTTCTTCTCCAGGTCCTTACTGTTTTAAGAACCCTTGTGAAAATATGTGCAGACTCTGTGGTAAAGTGGCAGGAAGCTTGCAGGTTAAACTCCCCCTCCACTTCCCGTCCACCCCCACCCCAGGCCAGGAAACACACATTTCAGCTTCCTCCCCTCACCACCCAACACTGTCTGTCACTGTCCCGTGTTCAGTGTCTCAGAAGTTCCCAGGGTTGTGTTTAAA